AGTAGCGTTGATTAGCAAAATTAAGATTATGTTACGTATAGGTAATTATGAAAATCTAGGCAAATGTGTAATCGAATAAGCGGTTATATAATCAAACAATTTACTTCATTTACAGCATTATTTCTCGTACACGAAATAATGTATGCTGTGGCTGACTGTGACATAAGTGCATACAGCAAACTTGCGTTTGCCATTTCATATCATCATTCTATAACCAATCGCAAGCAAATAAAACAAGCGATGAAGCAATAAAGGAAATGGAATTGATTGAGCACAATCGTCAGAAACGTGGGAGTAAAATACAATTCGGTAGCAAGTTTCTTTCTAATCACGACACTAAAACAACTCTAAACATACAATATCGCCAATTAATGTTATGTTACATTGCATTCGTTGTGTTTTATACTTTCGTTTTTATTTCTCTTCTTCGCATTCGTATTCCTGCAACTTACATCTTCTTTACGTATTGCTTACGTTTTAATTTTTTAAGATGTTTCTTGTGTGTTTTTTGTGTTGTCTTTTCATTTCCTATTGTAATGCGAAAGTCTGTGTTTTGTTCATGTAATTTGATTACATTACGACAGTCGAGTGAACGCACAAGAGATTCAGCTTCATTTGGCGCGGTAACAGCGTGGCAAATCTCGTAAATTTCGTTTTAGTCTTTTATTCAATTTGTATAAGCGCGCGCATAACAACAGGTAGTAATCAAGAATGAAAAAAAAAAATACGATGAGACCACAAATTGAAATTATTGCAGACAAACAAATGTGAAACATGGGAAGCTACAAGATTTACAAGAATTATTTATTTTTTTGTTATTTAAGTCGCGGCATCTTGGATCAACAATAAAAGTTTTTATCAAAAATCCTGTTTATTATTATCATATTTAATGCACACTTGAATTTTCTGGGCGTAAAAGAAAAGATACAGAGTAGATACGAATTTAAAAATCATATCGATGGATTTGCTATGAATTATATGAGCCGTTTATTTTGAAAGTGACCTAACTCCGTTTTTCAATTTTTGCCGGTTACCATGGTTACATGTACAACTTCATGTTATTTATCAGTGACGCACTTCAGATTGCTTATATTCAGAGAAAATACGGTACATTTTTTACACATAGGTTTTCCGAATTAATTGAATAACTGACCCGTGTGGTTTGAAAGTGGCCTAACTCCATTTATAGTTACATCAAGGTATTTACTATTGATAATGTCGGAAAGCAGCGATGAAGGTAATTTCAATTAATTAGTATTTACAAGTCCACCTCATTTTTGGGACAATTGCGTTAGTTAATTAACCTGTACGTTTAATTAATATAAAACTTAAAATTTAATATTAAATTATAGAAATTATTGCACCCATGAGAAAGAACTGAAGAAGACCACTTAGTTCAGATAGTGAAAAAGAAATAGTAATTAATAAAAAAAAGCGAATAAGAAAAAGAGTTATAAAACAATATTCCTCGTCAGAGGATGAAGATTCAAATAACAATGGAGAAAAGATTGATGCACCATATATCCAAAAAGTGCGAAAGATAAAACGGAATTCAGGAAAAAGATATTGCAGTTAAACCGGAAGTATTGTTCATGAAAAAAATTTCGAAAACAAAGATTGTGGTTGTCGGAATGCGTGCACAAAAAATTATAATGAAGAAGAAAGAAAGAATATTTTTGAGAAGTTTTGGGGTTTGGCAGATTTTAACAAACAAAATGTACCTATTACTTCACGAAGCTGTCTGTGAAACGAAGACGTTTTTTTTCTTCAATTTGAAACATCTTAAATTATGTTGAATGGACTTGGGCATCTTCAAATTTTATAATGAATCTGGCTGTTAATTTTGAAAGTGGCCCAACTCCATTCTTGATAAGGAAACGCACGTTATTTACTTAATAATTGCCACTATTTTAACAGGAACTTTAAATTTAACATCCTAAGATATGCTTAAGCAGTATGACTCCTTTGTATCTTATACGTATATTTTTAAATTCATTGAAACGCAAAACTTTCAATATCTCGATTTGAAGATAAATGGAGTTAGGCCACTTTCAAAATAAGCGGCTCATATATCAAGCAGATTAAAATTTTGATTTTTTTTTTTCAAACCTAAAACCATATTGTAAATTACCATTTATTAAACTTTCAATAAAACCATTTGCAATGTAAATGTTCTAACAAGTGTTTGAAGCCATGTTATTGTATACCACTTCACAGCATTAATTGAAATTCACTTAGAAGCTGCGCTGTATACAAGTTGTTTATAACTCGCAAATACATAAGTAACAAACATGTAAAGTGAAAGAGGCGCGCGATCGTAATATGCATTGTGAAAAACGATCCGAAGTGAAATGAAATAGAAACTGTAATTTCTTCACCGTTTTCACGCGACTGCGACTACCGCTTATAATATATCTCACGTTAGAGAGCAGTTATTATTCACACCGTTTCATCAATTTCATTAAAAAACGCACACCTCTCTATCTCCAAGATTATATTATGGATACATTTTAGACCCGAGGATTTCATCTGCAATGCTTCGATTTTAATATTACCCATCTGCGGCGCGTTTGATTCAATTAAATTTCTACCAGTGCGACTGTCGGCTTATTATCTCGTTAAAAAGGCGGATCGTAATTGGTACAACCGATCCATTCACTTCATTCGCTTTATAATTTATGGTTTATACCTAAGATGTTTACGGATGTATGACTAAATTGAAAAACAAATCATTGCTAAAATGGAAGAAACTTGTTGCGATAAAAAGATCAATAAATTGAAAAAAAGTTGTGAAAGTCTACAAAGTGAACGATTGATTGAATTGTTGTTATTACATGTTATTAATCTTTGCTAAATTCTAATAATTGCGAATATTTCCTCTGATAAAATCAATTTTTTTTGTTAAAATTTACTAAATTTTTTGTTTCTTCATTTGAATAACAATAATTTAAGTTTTTATAACATTTTAGTTCATTGACATTAATCATTATGCATTCCATACAATTTGTTTTATCAATCTACAATCAACATGTGCGTCGATTTTTATGCATTTATTGTTTTATTTATCGTTGAATATATTTGTTCGACGCATGCGTATGAGACATGCATATTCATGTCACATTTAAAGCAATATTTTCACACTTCATTTGTTTGTTGCCTATTTAAATCCAACACAATGAAAGTCCCGTGTATAATTCATCATTTATCCATTGTTTAATTGTACTTATCGACTTATTACATCAACTAACATTCATCCACGACGTTTATTTACAAAATGTCAAAAAACATTCCAAATATTTCAAGTTTACTTGCGAAATTATTATTAAAAGCATATTGATATGACACATTACTGTGATAAGACTCCAGATAACGAATTGCTAAATGTAAAAACCCCAGAAAGTAAAATTATTATAAATTCTACCTTCATAAATGAAAATATTATTTATTTATGTATATCACTTGAAGAGTTATGAACAAAATATGTATTTTATTAATAACACTGTCAGTCTGTGTACTGTGCATCTACGAGTATGTTATGCTATTTGAATAATGTGCAAGGACGCCGAGGACATTGCTGATTCCAATTACGTACTGCAACGTAACGTAACTTATAATTTGCACTATGCATGAGGATCGATGGATAAAATCAAAGCAAATGATGCATAAATGCATAAAAGACTCGTGCATGTCATGCACAAACAAAAATCTCCGCTAAATAATATTTATATTATCCACTTGCAGCACGATATATTTTATTGAAATTCATGTGCAGCTAAGATTATGGTCAATTTTGTCACGCTCACGAACGAGCTGGTGATTTACAACTGGAAGCAGCACATGATGATTAAATTTATTTTTATTTTTAAAGATTTGTAATGGATAATATGAGCGCCGAGAGTAGTTAGATCATAATCGATTGCGACATGTTGTTATTTTGTGTAATAAATCCGTAAAAGTTATGCACATTAAAGGCCTTGATTGAATAATGTCTAATTGAAACTTTTAAAATAAGAAAAATAAGAAAATAGAAAAATTTATGAATAAAATATTAAAGATGTTATAAGATATTTTAGTAAATGTTTAATTATTTGTGAACAAATTGTTTGAAATTTATCTGAAATTAAATCAAAGCTCATTGCCTTTAATCGACATCGCACAACTTGTTATTATTTCTTAAAAATCGAATAATTACACTTTACACTGCAGCTTGTAGCATCGCTTTTGGTAATGCAACAAACGAGCAAAAAGTAAAAATCCGCTGGAATCCTTTTGTCCTCGTTCGCGTCGACTCATCGACTCACTTAATCGGTCTTTATGTGAGAGCGCTAAATCGCAAGGGACTCGAATGGCGGTCGCGTATGGCAATGTGTGTTATCGAGTTATCGACGATGCGCACATGTGGCGCGCACTTTTCTTAAGTGTTTCAAGTGTCGTGGCTTTTCGCTTGTGCGGTATAGTTATTTTTTCTTATTATTATTTGGTTTTGTTTTCTGCGCGACGTTTATGGAATGTCTGCCTGGGACTGTAGACTGTATTCAGCGACTTGTAAAAGTGTAGCGCTATAAATAAACCAGCAATGTACAGCAGTGCGCCATTGCGAGCATTCTCGTAATGAGCGAGTGATAAATCAATAAAATCGAAGGATCCGAATAAGTAGCGCAAGCGAGCCACAGCAAAGATGAAGAAAAAAGTAAAACACTGCAAATGACCGCGCGACATGGAATAAATTGCATCATTCCGTATTCGCCCCACGAGCGCGTTTATATGCACTTGAAACGCTTCAAGCGTGCAAAGGCGAGACGATTAAACGATTACCAGTTCGACTAGTTTTAATCGATTTGCAGACTTGTCTTGCTGATGAAAGAAAACAGAAATAATAATTATGTTTCTCCACATTTGTACGACCCACTATATTTTTTTAAGGAATTTGCTCGTTATCTATTCATAAGTATTTGTTAGTCACGTGAAGGATATTTAAAAATATGAAAATGTTTTTGCAGAAACAGCCATAGCGGTGTCGGCATGATGCAGATCACAGAGGATACACCGCCGGATATGCTCGCCGGTGCAATGGACCTCATGGTGCATCTGCCAGACGGCAAGACTACCAAAATGGCCGTCGAACGAAGGTAAAAACGAAAATTACTCTTTTTTTATTTGCAATCTAAAAAACACATATTTTCTAATTACCAGTACCCCAATGATGGATGTTCTGGTTCAAATCACGAACGCTAATCATCTCCAAATCTCGGGTTATATTCTCCAACCCTTGGCGATACATAGTCCACCCGGATATGGCGAAAAAGTCCTGCCTTACTTCCCTAACACCCCGATTGGAACCCTAGACACACAGGATATTCGTGTGGTAGCTAAAAACCGTGGAGGGACTGCCCTTCAACGAGGAGGTGTCCCTGCCCAACCGTTCGAATCCACTTTCCGATTGAAAGTCCACCTACCACGCAATCAGCTATACGTCGAGCGGGTCAGCATGCAGGCGCATCTTCACGAAATCATGAAGAAGATGTGCGAGGAAAAGAATCTGGACAGGAATAAATACGAATTTCGTCATCCGAGTAAGTAAACGACCTTGCAAGGTTGCCACCTGCGCAAAACCATACACACACACTTGAAATCAACTCGAACTCGGACCGGCACGAGTTTGTAATATGGCGGGAGGCGAAGGCTTATCTCATCGCACGGCAGCGCCGACTACGATCGTCATTTGTTTGTCGCCGAGCGCGCTAACGATGAAACAAAACGCGAGGTGTACAACACGTCGCGATTTTCAACGCGCAATTTAGTTGATTAGACGTTTTAATTTGTGAAATCAGTGTAAATTGTGTTAAGTGATTAATTGAATTCTTTGTAAGGTAATTTGGATCAAGTTTTGGACTTAAAGCTACGATTAAACGACTATCAAATCACCGAGGTTTATGCCGTGAATAAGGGATCCAATCGCTTGTCTCAAGTATTCTCCTCGAGTGATAGTATCATGGCGTTTCGGAAAGAGGACGACCGGAGACAGAAATCTGGTGGGGGTATATTCAACTTTTTAAAGCGAGGCAAAGTTGTAAGTTGAGAACCTGGATTACCAATTTTGGTAAAACTGCATTATTTAAATCATTTTTTAGAGTAACGGATCCGGTTCATTATCAAGTGATAATCGATCGATCTCGCCGACACACAGCGATGATTCACGCTCAGTCTCCCCGCCTGTAGGCGGTGTAAAACTGACCACGCCGTCTGAGAAACCCAAGCCTCCGCAGCGAAAACGACGCCCCGCGCCCAAACCGCCATCTTTGAATAATCTTAACACTGCAGTGGATGAAAAGAAGAACGATGATGATGGGGTGGGGGTACAGATGCGAAAGAAAGAAGGTCTGACGATATGCCATTCACGAAATAGCAGCGATAGTTCTGGATATCACGAAGCATCCATTTTGAGTGACAATGCAAACACTTCGCTTCCTCGAAAACGTCCCCAAACCATCAATACAACCAGTAATTTGACGGCGATGAAGGCGCAGTCAAAATCAACCTCAAGTTTAGCATTTACAAGTAAGATATTTAAATATTATAAGTTTTTCCTGGTGAAATAATGTTTTGTTTGTTGTTTAATTTAGGTCGGCTAAAAAAGAAAGCGGCGCCACCCCCGCCGCCAGCAATGAAGTCGGCGCACTCCGTCGCGCATCTAGAAAACGCTAGTCCCGTAGTTGCTAGTCCCACCAACGAAGCCACCATTCCTGATGAGGACGGCAAACAGCATGAAGGTAAGTCAAGCTTTTTCCGCTACTCCCTAGGCGGCGCACATCGCAATTTTAAATCGTTTGAGTTTGCTAACACGCAATCACTGAGTAATATCAAGAGCAAGTTGCAAGCAGCTTCGACTTATGTACCCCCTGATAATAAAACTCCTGTTGACGATGAGCTTGAATCTAGATCCGAAAAATTCTCTTCGATAAAGAGACGTTTTTCGGGTAAGAAACAAATGAACAAGTTTCATGACAGTATGACACGTAAATGGAGTAAAAATTTGAGAACAGTCTTGAACGAGAGCCCAACCCTTTGAATTCATATAAAGACTATAAAGAAAATGAACTTGACGATGTTATTGCTTCGATCATGGACGAACATAACGTAAAGAGTTCTGAATTAGATCCCAATGATGATTTAGAAGACGGCGATGATATTATTCGTGTTGAATTGGTAGAAAGTCCAACTCAAGAATATCCCGAGAAGGTGTTTCTTGAGGAGCAAGGTAGTATCAAGAAAAGGTTTTGGACTAAAACTAGTAGTCTTGAACATAGTGCAAAATCACCTGACGACCAAGAAAATAAAACTTCTATCATGCAAAGAATGCGTAAATATACTTCAACTTCCTCTGTAAAGGAAGTGAATGTACATGAAAATAAAGATGCATCGGAAGAACTTTCATCAGCAAAAAGTGAGACTTTCCTTGGAAGGATAAAAAGTATTCGTAGAAATAAATCTAGTAGCAATGAAGAACCTTCAAAATCTGAAGAAATCTTAAACTCGGAAGAAACTGTTGAGAAAAAAGGTGTTTTTGGCAATCTCTTTAAAAAATCAATGAGTACCGAAGCGGTTCTTGATACAAATGCTTCCGAAATCGATGAACAGGCAAAATCTGAACAAAATTTGAACAGATTTCCTAAAATGTTTAAAATGCCTTCGACCGATTTTCTTAAAAAGAAATCAATCGAACAGAATGACGAAAAATCATCAAGTGTAACTCCTATTAAAAAATCTGTTAAGAAATCGAAGAAACAGATAGTCGGTGAAGATGATAATGAACAAAAGCAGAACACTGATAAAGGGGAACCAACTAAAAAACGATATTCCATTAAACTGTTTAAAAGAAGTCAATCAAGCGTTGATGAAAATACCGCTGATTTAAACGAAGAGAAATCTGAAAACATTTTGCAGACTCCAGAAAAAGATATCCAACAGAACCCTACTGGATTATCTAAATTTTTGTACGTAAAAAGGTTGCGTTTAATCATTCGGGCGAGTCTGCTGAGTCTGGAAGTTTTGAATTTGAAGAGGTTGTTGATGACATTAAAATGTCTCCCGTAAAATCTCAGAAACCGACAAATACAACCAAATCTCCTAAAATTAAAAAGCAACTTTCGAAAATGTTTTCTAGAAACCCTGATTTAAGAGAAACCAAATTTCCAATATCCGAATCATTAGATACTCAAGCTGGTGACATAATTGACAGTATTGAAGGTTTAAATGATGTGAACACTGATTTTACACCTGATATTACTCCTGATGAGAAAATTTCGGATAAAAAATCATTTGGAAAAATGTTTAAGATGTCCTCCACTGATTTTTCTTTTAAGAAAAAACCAGTGCAGGAAGTCAATGAAGAGTCGATCGAAGACAAAGATAACTCAAAAGAAAATTGTGCTGAAAAACAGCCGAAAGTTAAACGACAATTCTCCAACTTTTTCAAAAAGTCGGATGATAATGCGACAACAAAGAATACTGAATCTGCTGAATCTGAAACAACAGCAGACAATAAGAAACTAGAAGGTAAGACTTTTGGAAACTTATTTAAAATGCCATCAACAGATTTCTTAAAAAAGAAACCGGATGAGTGTCAACCAGAAAATGACATATCAACATCTGCATCAGCTGAGGATAATATTGATAAACCGTTTGGAGTTCGAAGACAATTTACAAAAATATTTAAACGCGGAGGTGGAAATGCGGGATCATTAGAACCTTCTCAAAGTTCTCTCGAAGAACTGGAATGTAAGGATACATCTGAAAAAGTGGTAGTTTCTGAACCTCAAAATTCTCCTGAAGTTTATTTAGGAATAGATAATGCTGGATTTGACGACATTGACGTCATATCTATTACTAGTGCTGTTGTTCCAAAAGAAAAACCATCTACAAAATGTTCGAAAAAGAAGAAAGAGGTTGTCAAATCTGTAAACGATAATTCAGAAAAGAAGAAAATGTTTAGAATGCCTTCAACTGAGATGTTAAAAAAGAAGTCTTTGAAATATAATTCATCGGATGAAAAGATTGATGACAAAACATCAGAATCTAAAGCAGAAAAAACTTCAAACTTTTTCAAGAAAAAATCAGTTAAAGAAGTGACTACAGATACTTCTTTTGCAGAGAAAACAAAAAATAAATCGTTTAAAAAATATTTAAAATCTGATACAAAACAGAAATCTATTGAAAGTTCTGATGGCATTGCAGTAATAACCGATGATAAGAACAAAAAATCTGTTAAACAAACTGGAAGTATTTTTAAGAAATCATTTAAAAATCCTGCAAAATCTGAGGAAGAAAATGCAACAGATGCTGAGCGTCAAAAGAAACCAAAAACCAAAAAAATCGCAAAAGAAAAAAATGGTGAAAGTAGTACCCAAGAAAATATTGATTCAAAAGTAGATGATGATAATGAGTCGGTATTAAAGAAAATTATGAGAGCTGGTTCTTTACGTCGTTCCAGATCCAAATCCAAGTCCAAACCTTCCAAAAATTCTTCCCAAGAAACCAAATTCTATGTTGATTGTGATCCTGGAATATCCGCAAGGCCATCCATTTCATCTGTGGACAGTAACACCTCCCTTAAAAAACGCCGTAAAGTTGTTAAACAATCTTCTCTGAGATTAGCATCGCGAAATGTACCTTTAAAAGGTGAGAAAAACGAGGGAGAAATTTCCAAATTGGTCCGAAGATTATCTTCGCGTAGAAAATCTCAAAATACTCAAATCAATGAAAAGGGAGATATGGTAAAAAGCAAGCAGCGTTTAAATAAAATAAATCCAAACACCATTGTTGACCAGGCAATCAGCACTACCCGTCCACGTAATCCTAGAATGTTTGCTCCTGAAGAAGACTTTACATTGGACGATCCCATCCCTACAAAACCTTTTTTAGATCGAGTCCAAATGCCGACAGTCAAACTCAAAGAATCCTACGACCAATTCGCCATAAAAACAAACAAAAATCCAAATCCAAAAACCCCGGAGAATCCCACGGACCAGGCCGGAAAAAAGAAAAAGTCGAAGAAGAAAACTTCAAGCCAACAGACAGAAAGAGGCAGGATTCAGAATTCGTCGATGAAAAGTATCACTTTAAGGAATTAACTGAGGAGATTTTCATTGGGGTACCAGAAGAAGAATTAATGAATCCATTCTTTTATCAAAGAGAAAAAGTTGGCAAAAGAAAATTAACTACCACAAGAAGTTTACCATGCAATCGCAATGAAGAAGGTTTTTGGGGTAGAATTCAAGAGGTTAGAGAAAAGGGGCGGGCTTTGTTTAATAGAACTGCTCTTGATATTAGCAACGCGACTAAATCGGAAGATTTAAAAGATGTTAAAATTGTTTCGCAGAATGTGCCCGCCTTGTTTCGTAGTTATCTATAAGTCAAACTTATTCTATGTTTATGTGTGTTAAACTAAGCCAAGACCAATATCTTTAATGTATTTATCACGCCTGTTATGTGCTTTGTGTGTACGCAACTACTTTAAAAAGCTTATTCTTGAGTGACTAACAATTCTCTTTTTCTCTTCCGGCACCGCTCGGTTTTGCTTTATCTGTTTGTAGCACTAAAACACACTAACACGCCACTCGCACGAGTTGAAACCACGGGGGTGACGGATGCTGGAGACGATCCTGAAGAATTTACTAACTTTTTCTGTCGTCGCGACGTCAAGAATCCCGCATATAAACCGCCGCATCAGTCAGATATTCCCACCCAACCGGAACCACAAGTACCACAAGTTCAACGCTTTGATAATGCTGAAGATGATAGTGAAGATGAAATAGATTATAATTCTGAGAAACCGCTTGCTGAGCATAAATCACGATCAATGGATAGCTTAAATGAAGAAGACTACGAAATCATGTTTGATAAACTTTTGAAGAAAACCAAGAGTGGTTCCATTTTTGATAATTTGGATAAAATTGATGGCCATGAAGATAATATAGAGGATAAAGATGAAGATGTAGATTTTAGTTTTTCAATGCTCTCCGAAAACTCTGGTGACTCTTCCGATGAGGAAATGCTTAAAATGGGCCCAGAGAGGCATGCCCCAAAAAGAGATCTTTCTTTTAATTCATACTCCCGTCTGCATGGAAACACTGCACCTGAGAGTGATCTGCAACACTTTTCAAAAGTGCCAGATTTTGATCTTAGTGAACTCGGTGGTTCCAATAGGATAGACAAGGCTTCATCGCAAAATTTATGGGACTCTTCTTCAGATAGAGACTATCACTCTTTATCAGCCATGGATGAAAACATGGAATCTAACGAAGATAAACCAAAAATTGTTGGTGTCTTAATGAAGAAGAGAAAAGACAGTCTAAAGAAATATAGCTCTATGGGGGATATTAGCAGATATGATAAATCAACGTCGTCCACCAGGGAGGACCTCTTTACTGCGCTTTACCTCTGCTCGAACTATCCATTAACAACTTCAGGCATGTTTATATTAAACTTAATTTTAAATTATTTGTCAATATATAACATACTACTAACGACTTATATATCAGAACAAAGACCCTGACTGTAATTCTCATTTAGGTATGATTTTAATTTAATGATTGGTTTCAGCTGATGTAAATGTAAAGAAAAACGAAGACACCTCACCGCCTGAATCGCTCGCCAGTAGTCTTGCAACGACGCTATCGAGCAACATTGAGACTGACATAGGAAATAACATTAAGGATGAAATAACTGAAGAAGATGATGATTCACAGTTGCAAACTGAAGAAACTTTGAAACCACCGCAGGTTCCCACCACAACGGAAAATTTAGTAAACAACGAACACAGCAACAAAACAAAAGTTGAAATAGTTCAATCAGAACCAGCACCTGAGATAGTCATAAAATCGGAAGAAATTGTAACTGAAGTCATTACCACCCCAGCACCAGTTATATTATCTGATGAGGTAAAACCAGTCGAAAAACTGCAAATTGAAACAGCACCTGAAAAAATCAACGAATTTTTGGAAGAGAAAATTTTAGAGAATTCGAAAAAGGATATTAATTTACCATCAGCAATGGATAACAGTGATTGGGAATACCAATTACCTTCTCCACCTACAGCTTTCAGAGATTCCAGCCCACAACCAGACACCACAACATCTGAGGAGTCTGAAACACTCAGTGATATTCATCCAAGCACTGATTCTATCTTAACCAGTCCTGAACTCTTCGAAAAGCTTCATGTCATCAAAGAATCACAATCTCAGATTTCAGAGTCTGAAGTTTTGAGCACGAAATCCGGCGACAGTGAAGAAGACAAATTTATTAGCAAACTGTCTTTGGAAAATTTAGAAATCCGAAAGAAATTAGTGTACAATCGCGAGTTGGCAACAAGTTTAAAATACCAAGATCAAGACGCTGATGAAGTAGCCAGTAAACGATCTAGTGTAATGAGCGAGTTGGAAGATATCTTAAAACCATCTAATACTAATGGAAATGAGCAATCTTTGGTCACACCCACAACCATTGAGGGTAATAAAAATTGGAACAAGGTGCAAGCTGCAGTAGCCAACTTCAGTTCTGCGTCGAGGACAGATCGAGCATTGCCGAACTTTAAAATTACTACTTATGATATTCCCAAGAAGAAGATAAATATTTTTGAAGATGATAGCATTCGGAGCAATGTCACCGTACCAATACCTTCAACAGTCGGTGTTACTGAAGAAGTTGTAGAAGATGATAAACCATCGTTTGAGAGGCAGCCAAGGCAGGAGTACAACAAAAATCGATGTCTTACGTTGAACAGACAGTTTCTACAAAGATCTGAATCGTTCAACTCGTGGACTCCCAATGCCCCTGTAAAAAGGTCCAAATCGCAAGTTGCATTAAAACCTGAAGTACCGAAGAAAACTTTTGAAACTATTACCAACGAAGAGAATAAATCAAGAAGCACTTTGGACCTTACAGGTTTACAGAGCATTGAGGTATGTTGAGATATAATGATGTAAATCATAAAATACTAATTTGTTCTATAATTTTAGGTAATGAAAGCAATCAGGACGACTTTGACGACTACCACCCCCACTAACACGACTTCAAATACTACAACCACTACAGATGAAGTCGATACCAGTGCTTCTCCTGTAAAACCAGCGATCGAGATTATAAAACCTCTTCCTCCTGCAAAACAAGCCACTCCAAGACCATTATCAATGTTTGCCACTCCCAGCCTAAATTTCGCTAGCTGGAAGGATCGCAAACCTTTCGGTGAAATCAAAACAACGCCAACGCCAACTCCACCCGCACCTGCTCCAAAAATGAACAGCGTTACAAATTTGAATGGCACAAATAACACCAACAAAGTTATTTCAAATGGAACATCTAATAACTTGCCAAAACAAGTCGCACATCCAGTTAGTACCAACAACAATGTGAGTATTAAAGTCAATGGTTCAGAGCCCATCTCACAACAGCCGACTGGTAATGTTCTGATTAAAATCGGCCAGCCCAAACAACAAGATGAACTAACTAAACGTTACATCAATCACTCCACCGCCGTGGGATACCGCAAACCACTCGGGAATATCAACAAAGTTCAGAATGTGCGCCCACATTCAATCGCAATCGAAAAGTTTGAACAATTCGATGCTTCCCGAGTGCCAATCGTGCGCGCTGTGGAGCTAAAAAAGCACGCCCACACAAATGGCACCTCGGTCACACAGATTCGCCCCGATGGCGATTCGAACAAAGTCAATATCTTTGAAAATGTCGTATTACGCAGCGCCGCGGGTAGAAAAACAACCGAACGTCCGAATTCAGTAAATGTAACCGCAAGTTCCGATGATCGTGGACTACTACTCGAAAGTATACGCAATTTCGGAGGTAAGAAAGGACTGAAAACAGTCAAAGTATAAGCATTAACGCAACGACGGCTCAATTAGCATTAGGTGTTTGAACAGCAGAAGAAATTAAACAGTAATTGTATCAGAATCGCGACATTGCAGTAGTAGAAAAGTAAGCAACATGTTACGTTTATAATATTTACCTTTATATAGTTATTTTTATTGTTGGTTTTTGTTTATTGCTAGTTTTCCCTTTGTTTCACTTGGTGATCTAGAATCACACACGTGAAACAAATGAAAGACGCTAAAAATATTAGAAAATACCCCAAAACGCACGAGAGTTGCTCGTGTTATGTAACTAGGGACCAAAGGTATATTATGGATGGATTGCGCGTTATACTAATTACGTGGAAAGTTATATGAACTATTTATTTGTATAATCTGTATAATCTAGTTATATTTATAGGGTGTACTCGCTATAAATACGTATGCAATATCTTGTAATGTTGATAGCGCTAAGAAATATTAATATATTATCAAAATGTTAACGAAAATCGTGTAGAACGCGTGAAGATATCAACAGAGTCATTAAAATGATTTGCGAAAACGAATGAAACGTATTGAATACGAACGAACATCACATTGAATGTGAAATATTACTAAAAACTTATTATGTTTATTTGCAATGTAAGATGTATGCAAAATGAATAAAATAAATGTATATTATCAAATACTTGTGCGATTCTCAGCGTTATTTATCATGCGATGCTATCACAAAAAATCAAAACAAGTGATAAGACTTGTTTTGCAAGATTCAACAACACGACGACGAGCGTTTCTTGCGCATAACTGCGTGTGTTTCTTGTAACTGACTTGCAGTTAGCAAACAAATATTATTTAGATTTAATTATACTAAACGCATTTTTGCGATCGGGAGCGCCGCCATTTTCATACTAGTAGATACCGCAATTTGTGTTTTATGAAAACCCGATAAAAACGAAAATGTAAAATGCAGATTGATTTTGGCGCAGAATTCTTAATATGTTTGCATGCCGCACGCGAATATATAACATGTATAGACATAGCCCATTAATTTTAATAAAAAGATAACTTACAATTGAAATCGGTCTGCTTTGCAACTATTTAAACACTGCACACTATCACTGAACACTAACGAATGTTGTACCGCAAAAACACGCGCGTTCGTCTTCGCGGCGTCGCACGCTGATTGGCAGAGTTATCATCACGTGATCAATCATCAACCGCGTCGGTTTGTAAAACGCATGCTCGTCTAACTTCGACTCTTTCGTTTACTTTCGTGCAAGTTTTAGAACAAAGAGGTTTTTGATTTAACAACAATTATTTTAAATTTTCAGAGGGCGCGATATACAAAGCCATATCAAAAGTATCTATTATAACCAGTACAAAAAATACTTACAATTTACATCATGTGTTAAAATATTATCAACTAAGGTGAGTAATATCGACTAGGTGTCGACAAGGCAAACGCTGCACCGGAATTCCTTTTCGGGCTAATATTTGGTAGCAATTTATCAGAATAAACAATTGGGAAATGTTGCAGCCGACCAGAAGACCAACCAATCGATAAACACGCGCCGTGGGCAAAATTATTTTGAAATTGTATCGTTGTTGGTGTCTCCTCGGGATTTCCATTTATCACAAACCTAAAATAAATATTACAATACATATAACTCCATAAAATAAACAAATCATCTTACCCTGGAGATAATTGTAAAACAGGTTCCATAATTACACTAAAGACTACAATAACATTACAATCCTGAAATAGAACTGCAACGTGATTTCCCTTTACATCCCACTCCATGCTCTAACTCTGCCGCCAATAACAACGCCGTTTAAATCCACCTTGCTAACATCAAACAATGGAATTGCTTCATTTCCAGTAGCATTATTAGTATTTAACATAATATTAGTCTTTCCAAAAGACAACAAGTAAATAATTGGCTCTTCATTCGTTGTAAACAGTAGATGTTTTCCATTTGGCGACCAACAGCATGCTTGTACCCTACCACAGAGCACACTCCACCTATCTGCTTGCCAATCAACGCAGTTCCAAACACGAAAAACGTACATCGAAGTTGCGGCGAATAATTTATCACCAACTGGTGACCACCTCAATAAATTATGCCCAATTGTTCCTGGCCGCTTTAAACTACTAGTTCTATCCATTTCAGGATCCCAAAGAAGGATTTTTGAATCATTTGCTGCAACAGATGCTAAAATATCACCTCTTGGACTCCAGCTGATGCTGATAACAGGTGTATGTTCAATGCGCTGCAAAATAATCGCATGATTCATGGACGGACGTGTTACCATTGAGTTGGGATCCACATTCCAGATGATGATTCCTGATTCACAAGCAACTGCAATATCAGCATTGCTCATTGGTCTCCATGCTAAACATGTTATATTTTTCTGTTGTTTGCATTTCAGAATAGGTATCAAATTATTTTCTGAACCATAGATTCTTACAACATCATCTGCAGCAGCAACAGCAATTTTTGTAATATCAAGATGCCATGCAATAGCTCTGATGGGACTATTCTGCCAGTTTTTGGTTTGTGCATATTCATCAATTAAAACATTGCTACTTTTTGTGGCTGCAGGATTCAATAATAGTTTAAACTTAGTAACTTTGTCCATTAAGTTTAACAACACAAGAGCACTTTTGGAAATAACAATTTGATTGTATGTTGAAGCTGTTTCTACAGCTTCTCGGAAACCTTGTTCCCAATAAATTTGGGTGAGTTGTTTTAGGAATGTTGTCTGTACAGGAAGCAGAAGATCTTTACCATCCTCCATCATTTTATTAGGATGTAACAGTTCTCTTGTGATGTGTACCACTGGGTGTCTATCAGTCTGTATTTGTTAATAATAAGAAAAAGAAATTCAAGAATAAGAAAGAAGTCGGTATTGTTGTTTAACCTAATAGTTACCGTTGTTGTGAATTGCGAAACATTCGCATATTCGTAGGGCATCGAGTGTATGCGGCCTTCCACTTCGCAAAGCGTGATGTTTCCATTTTCCGATGGTTGAAATTGTTGTAAATTTCCCAACATTGTTATATGTATGGACAACTGGCGCAAACAACTGCGACACTTTAAATTCTGAGACTGTTGTGGACTGTTAGTTAGCGCAATAAAAAGATCAAAATGCAGGTTGTAGCGACATCTGCACCACTTAAACACATTTAAAATTAATTTATTTCAAATAAGTTACACTTATTTAAACATTTATTAATTTAATTTAACAAAACAACTAAGGTAAATTATAAATTATATTAAAACAACATTAACTATACGACAGTATAATGTTAGGAGATTATATTTTGCAGCTCAACCTGGTGACAGGATAAAGAAGTATATTTCAATTTTAAATTAGTGAAGTGTTGATAAGTCTAACCTCGGATTTAAATCCAACCGTCACTTTTTGCCAAACTTACTTTTCTACATTTTACATTTTATTACATTTACACAGAATTTCAACACGTGCAGATAGTGGCAACAAATATTTTATTAGTTTTATCACTCCTTTTAAATCCAAAAACAAAAATGGAGGACAGTTTTGATGAAGATGAATTTGATTCACTTGTTAATCCAAGTCCAACTTTCAAAAAGAAAGGAAAGGAAGTTAAACGAAAACGTAAGTTTATTATAACTAATATTAAACAAACCTTCTATATTAATCAAATAATATTGGGGCTATAGCTATATCACGATTGGCTCTAAAGAAGACACTAAGAAGATCTTCAATATATGACAAACTACCACAATCTGTTGAGAATTCTAATCTTAACATGGTTGATGCTGCATCAACTGAATGTTCAAGTAATTCATCATCTGTGCCTCCCACAAAACCTGTTAAACCAAGAAAAGGGTTTATTATTCTAAATAATACTGCATCAACATCATTAATTCAGTCAAAAGATAAAAAGTTTACAGACAATATAATTATTAATGATTCTAAATCATCTACTGAATCAAACAATAAATCCTCAGTGCAAGTAATTGAGGAAACTGATGATGAGGCAGAGAAAGTAATTCCTGCTACTGCTGAAAACAGCCCAGTAAAAAATATTCAAAGCCCTTCCAAGTTAAATATTAAAGCTGTAAAACAAAACGACCTTTTAAGTGAAACTAAATTTGAATCAATCAGAAATTGGGTCCAAAGTGTTGCCAGAGAAGATGAAATATATTCAATAAATACTGATTGTGAGCCTGTAAAAAAGCCCGTGAATCTTGTAAAAACAAAGACAGCAGTAAATTCTACATTTGTAATGGACAAAACTTGTGTTCCATTTGATCAATGGATGAAAGGTGCTTACAAAACAGACAGAGCTATGAAAGATTTAAAGAAACAAGTTAAGATGACACCTGATAAAGAGAATAAAACACCACTGCCAGAAACACCCAATCAATTAATGAAGAAATATTTGGGTAGTGATGTAGTAAAAAATCTTTTAATTGATGACAATTCTTCAAATGAGAAAATAATACCAACTATGACAAAGTCAGGTAAAAAGAGTGATGATCTTATTATAATTGATGATATTGAACCAGTAATGACAAATAAGACTGCAAAAGATGTGATAAAGAAAGCAGAAGTTAAATCTAGGAAAACTAAATCGGTTGGAGACAAAAACAAAAAGAATCTTTTGAAGACTCCAAAATCGAAACAAATTGTTGAGTCTAGTAAAATCGACTTTAAAGGGGATGTTGCTAATGCCGATGTTAACGATGGTAAGTCTCTTCACTATAAGATAATAGCAAAACTATAATTTATACGATTTTAGTTGTTATTACTCCAGTTAAACAAATGATAAACAGAAATGACGATGTGGCTAAATTGTTAGACACGTTATATGGTAATTCTTGGCACAAAAATAAAGACCAAGTATTTTCGGAACCAAGACAACCCAAGAAAATTCAGATTAATAAACTTAAGGAGCCTCGCACTGAAAAGTACATTGTTTTAAATTAGTTTGATCTGTTTGTAATGCATTTTAACATGATTGCATTTTGTTTAGGAAACCTCAGCGCGATTTGCTCTACCAAAATCCGTACTTGGACAGTGAAAAGCAAAAATCGACAAGTTTGCTAAAGTCCTTGCAAAAGCAACGAATTCAGGCAAATATTGAGTCTCCGTTTTTGCACGTCCGAAAATCGTAGATGATGACACTCCTTCTCCGGGAAGTAACGCAAATAAGAAAACAACAAAAGATAGTAGTAATAACAGTACAGAAAACAAAAGCATTGAGAGCAAAGACTTCATCTCGGATTCATCTGATAATGAACTTAGTTTGGATGATCGACTTAAAAGTAAGCGTTTTATTTTATTTATTACTTTTTTGAAATAATTAAACATAAAGTAATATATTTTTTATTTTCTGAAAGGTTGTATAAAGAAAAATGTCTTGAATTACAGAAAAACATCTATCAAAACCAACAAAACTCTCATTCACTGATGCTTCAGAAACGAAAACATCACCAATATTAGTAAAGAAACCACATAGAAGAATTATAAATATATCTGATAGTGATAGCGATAGTGATTCTAAAGCAACACCCGATCAAGGTCCGGTAAAATCGAATACTAGGAAAAGTTCACAGTCTTCTTCTAGTACAAACTCTAATCATTCGGATTATAAAAAACCCACGCGTATTACCCGACCGAAAAACAAAACTGATAAAAACACGGACGATTTAATTGATAGAATTGAAAATATTACGATTGACGACGCATCAATTGACTCCGGTTCAGATTCCGATGATTTTATTATTGCCCCGAAAAAAGGTTCACTGATTAACAAAACTAAACCACAACAAACACCCAAAGTACACAGTTTTCTTGCTTCATTATCAAAGGGCATTCCTGATGAATTAAGTGATCCAAGCGCGTTGATTTATAAAAAACTTTAAAAAACATCGCGACGCGTTGACTAAAAAACTCTTTGATATGTTCAATGAAAAAATCTTTGACAAGTCCATACCAACAGACACACCGATAGAATGGAGCGTTCGTATGACTGGTACGGCTGGTTTGTGTGGATGCATGCGGAGAACACATCGCGATGGCAAGATAACCCGCACTGTGCGTCTGAAACTTTCCACCAAGGTTCTAGACTCGGCGGATAGGCTCCGTGACACTTTGGTGCATGAGATGTGTCATGCTGCGACTTACCTTGTTAATGAAGTGTCTGATGGACATGGACGATATTGGAAAGCCTGGGCAGCGAAAGCAATGCGTGCTTTTCCGGAACTTCCGGCTATCACACGTTGTCATTCGTATGCGATTAACCACAAGTACACTTATAAATGTTTGAGTTGTGGCTATAGTTTTGGCAGGCATTCGAAGTCATTGAATATCGAACGGAAGAGATGTGGGTATTGCTACGGTGAATTTGAGGTGTTGATAAATAAGACGGGCCAAGGTGGTGATAAGAAGAGTGTGCCGTGCACACCGAAAAAAGAACCAACCGGATTTGCCAAGTTTGTTAAAGATAACTACGCGTTGCATAGGTCCCCAGGCGTTAATCATAAAGATGTGATGAAGTTACTTGGAAAAAAGTATGCTGAGCTTAAAAATGACAAAGGAGAAATTCAATAATTGATGTTTATGTGTATGTTAAACATTTTATTTTATTTTATGTGCTTTATATTTATAGAATTTTTATGCTGGTGTAAAAATGTAATGATTTTAATCGGTTTTTAAAATAAAAAATGATTGCAATTGACTAAATAAAGATATGCTTTACTTTAATGTCCATTCCATTTTGTAAGTTTTATAATTTGGGGAGTGAATGCAAAAATTGCATTCTGCTTGCGTTATTTTAATTAATCAAATGAAAGAAAGAATTATTTATAGGTCTGTATTGAAAATTACTTTAAAAAACAGCAGCTATGCAAGTAATTAATGTGTAATTAAGGTGCAACATTCAAAACACAACTTTTCTTTACTGCAGTGGTACTAATTGTTTTTCGACGTCATGGCCCTGTCGGTGAGCAGGTATAAAAACGTTTGGTGGCGACATAAATGGCATCAGAAGCAACTGTGTCTTCTAGTATCACTAACAATTCAACAATGATGGTAAGACAATAACATTATCGATAACAACTTCAGTATTAACTTTTTTGTTTTTTGTTTAGCGTATCACGATTATCCTCGCCTGCGTCATTGGTGCCTTGGCCGAAGCGCCTTTCTCAGAATATGGACTTCCAGTTAAGTCAGCCCCGTACCCGGCTTCCGCACCTTATCCAGCGGCTAAGGTCGTAAAGCCTCATGATGAATATGGTGTACCAGAAGTTAAGGCGCCAGCTAAGCCAATTCTCACCAAGTACGCCTACGACATCCCGGCAGTCACCCCGAAATCCGCCCCATACCCTGCTCCAGCTCCATACCCAGCTCCGGTTCCAGTTGTTAAGTCTGCACCATACCCTGCCGCCAAGCCCCATGATGTCTATGGAGTACCAGAAGTTGAACAACCTAAGCCAGTCGTGCCTGTGGTGACCAAGTATGCCTACGACATCCCGAAAAGCGCCCCATACCCTGCTCCAGCTCCATACCCAGCACCAGTTCCAGTTGTTAAGTCTGCACCATACCCCGCCGCCAAGCCCCATGATGTCTATGGTGTACCAGAAGTTGAACAGCCAAAACCTGTTGTGCCAATTGTGACCAAGTACGCTTTCGACATCCCAAAGACCGTGCCAAAGTCAGCCCCATACCCAGCTGCCAAGCCTCATGATACCTATGGCCCACCAGTTGTCAAGACCGCACCATACCCCGCTGCTGTTCCAGTCGTCAAGAGTGCCCCATACCCAGCTGCCAAGCCTCATGATGTTTACGGAGTTCCAGAAGTTGAGCAGCCCAAACCTGTTGTGCCAATTGTGACCAAATATGCCTTCGACATCCCCAAGAGCGCCCCATACCCTGCCCCAGCTCCATACCCAGCACCAGTTCCAGTTGTCAAGTCTGCACCATACCCCGCCGCCAAGCCCCATGATGTCTATGGAGTCCCAGAAGTTGAACAGCCCAAGCCTGTTGTCCCAATTGTGACCAAGTACGCTTTTGACATCCCGAAGACCGTGCCCAAGCCAGCCCCCTACCCAGCACCGGTTCCAGTCCAGCCTCATGATACCTACGGCCCACCAGCAGTCAAGACCGCCCCGTACCCAGCTCCCCATGAAACATATGGTGTACCCGTTGAACAGCCCAAACCTGTTGCACCAATCGTGACCAAATACATGTACGACATCCCCGCTGAGACCCCAAAACCAGCACCGTACCCAGCGCCCGTGCCACACCAGGAATACGGACCACCAGCTGTAAAGAAGGTCGTCGTCCCTCATGACACCTATGGAGTACCAGAAGTTAAAGTGATCGCCAAGCCAATCGTCAGCGAATACAAATTCGACATCCCGGCCACCACTGCTGCACCAAAGGTTGTGCCACATGCCGTTTACGGTGTTCCCGGCAACTTCTAAATTATTAACTTATTCGTATGCCGAAATTGAAATGCCACCATGCGAATAACTGGGTAATAATTCAGTTATTCCAAATTGACTTTGTTGTTACATTTTTATATTTGTTATTAAATATTTTAAATATGCTAGGTACAAAAAATTAAAATTGTTAGCAAACTAATTTTGTGTATTCATTGGGTGTTGGGAATTTTCCAGTATGAATGTAACAATAAATCAAATTGAAAACGAAATTTAATGAGTTTTAAACTATTAGGTTACAAATATTCCAAATATAATAAGTGAAAGTGTTTTTTTTAATAATGTGTTAAATACCTTTATTAAAATACTTTTAGTACCAGTGATTTGCACTTTTAACATTGCATTTTGTATTTACCTACTTAGCTAAATAATAATAAATATCTGACTTTTACAATCATCGGAAGAAACAAGTTTTAGATTTAATTGCATCAAAACTATCAATATTACAGTTTAATTTTCTTGTTTTCAATTTGTTAAAACATTATTAAATCAAATTATTCATGTTAAAAATTCACTTTTGTCTTAGTCACGGATAGTAATCACCGCTTTTTCTAATAGTTCCTAAACTACAAGAGAAAGTCAACAGAAAGAAAGCAATTAATGAAATTAATAAAGTTTGATTTAATTTAACGATAAACCACCAAAAATGTTGATTTTCTGCGCCGTTGGCGATGGTATAAATAAAATGCACAAATTGTTTTAGCGTTAGTTCACTTTTGTGATTCATAGTACTAAGAACAAGGATTTTAATTTATTGTTAGCAATGTTTCTTGTAAGTTTTACTTTATATCCTTTTAACGTCTATTGCGTTAATTAAAATTAAATTTTCAGATAATATTTGTATTATCAATATTTGAAGCTAGTGCAGAGCAACCCGTAATACAATATGATCAAGCCGAAGACGCCCACTTGGCCACGCCCCATATTAACAAATTGAGATTAGAAAAACACCTCGTAATCCTACCGAAAATATCGCATGAAGCGCAATATCTCAGCAATCCTTTTCGGCGAGAAGTGGACACCGGCAATTTTGACATGCAAAACATAAAACCAGTGACAGAACTTTCCTTGGAACCGCCTCCACCGACTGGACCAATCGCAGCTGCTCTACAAGCAGCACCAACTAAAGATATCTTCAACGGTTTAAACCTAAACTACGAAGTTCCAAGTTATTCTACACCAGAAGACTTTCAGAATTCTGTAAATGCTCTAACACATATGATGATTAATAAACAAGTCAAGTTTCCTGGTACGTCATACGGTGTACCAGTGACAGACTCACCTGAAAATATCAAGGCTAGTACAATCAATGCGTTGGTGAATATGTTAATTGGATTAGACAAACAGAAGAAGCAAAGTGATATGTTAAACCAAATTGTGCAGTTTATGCACAAGAAGAAAATGCAACAGGAGCAACAGAATTTAATTGCACAGCTACAACAACAGATGCAGAAAGAACAATATAAACCGTTTTTGCAAAGTCAAGATCAAGCTGAAGGACTGGTAAATTTCATGCAACAATTGTTAGAACCTTTAAAGCAACAAGGTCTTGGAAGTGTACCACAACCAACCAAACCAGTTCCCACCTTACCAACACTACCAACATCCGCTGGTCTTAGCCTAAGTCACCCTTTACCAAATTTGGTAAACGTCCAAAGTGTTTCGAGTAGTAGCACACCTGACGTTCAATATGATTGGACTCCAGCCAAACCTTCGTTTGTTAATAATCGGGTACCAACAACAGCGGCAGCTTCTCCTTCAATTGCTTATCAAACAGTGGTTTCAAATGGTTACCAACCAACACAGCATCAATTTGTTCAACCTACACCAACTATACCAACTTATGTAGCAGCATCTGTGCCACCATCACATTCGTTTACTCAGTCATCACCATCGCATGGGTCTCACCACCATCCATCACCATCATCTGGACCACCTCACTCACCTCCCATAAAAGAAGGTTATGTTATTCGTCTAAGTAAACCTACTTTAATGAAAGAAGAACTCCCACTTTCTACAGTAATGCCAAAAGTCTACCATCATTATGTCCAACCAAAGGAAATAATACATACATCTGCATCATCACACGGCAAAGAATCGTCATATTCTGATATGTTTGCTCCCAAGTTTGAACATTACATTATGAAGCATCAAGGTGAAAAGTCCAAACCGCAGTTGATTAAACTAAAAGAAGAAAACAAGTTTTCTCATGATTCTACACATTCTGCGACAAAATATTCACCGAAACATAACCAATTTGATGTTAGTAACCTCGAACAAGAATTTAGTAATGGCTTGGGTCACCATCAATCGAAAAAACATGAAGTTATCGAAGCGCTTAAATATGACGACTCCAAAGTGACATATGATTTTGTTAATAGTAACAATGAACATAGTGATGAGATGCATATTCACTCACCTTATGATAGCTTCAATAATCATGAATTTGATCAAGAGTTTTTGAAAAATTTTGATAACATGCACTTTAAAGAAGAAAATATTCCAGGCAATGAAGAAAGTAAACGTACCAAGAAACCACCACCAAAAGGTCCCCAAAAGTTCATTATTTTAAAGAAAACAACAAAAGGCTAAACATAACCAAATATAACTCCTAATTATTTATACCAGTAAATACTATTTATATTGTTTTGTTAAGTTTTTACTTTGTTTTAATAAAAAAAGATTATGGTCCATCAAAATCTCATTTGTTGCGTTAAATTTAAAGCGGTAACATTTACGTAGAACAAATCGATGTGAATGCATAACTCACGCTGGAATTTTAATACAAAATTTATGACCTAACCTTAGATTTACAACACTGTGCATGGAATATTTGTGTGAAGCATAAATTTGCACGAATTTGCTATGGAAACAAAAGGTCTTTTCTTGGTAAACACATTTTTATATCTACTCCAGTTTTGTAACATTTCTAACCTTAATCTTTAACAAAAAGAAGAAAAGATAGGTTATAATTAGTGTCCGACCAAAATTACAATATGTTGTGAGGAAAAATTGTTATTTCATTCAAGGTTATAAAAATAGCAAACCTTTAACGGTAACATTAACATTTAACTATAAATCAAAGATTGCGACTGCAAATGTGTTTTTACTCACATACCGAATGTTATGAGATAATTTACTTGTTTGCGTGATTCTCCTTTATCGTATAATTGATATAATTGTAGTGAATCGTTGGCACCTCGAGCTAAACGCACCTAATAAGTATGATTATCATAGTACAAGTATTATTATAATCAGGTTACATGTTCAAAGTTATTTGTTTTTAGTTGCAATAGATTACAATAGATTTAATTTCTATTTTCTTATTTGTTTTATGTTTATGTGTTTATATGGGTAACATTGCACCATCAATGATGATTAATAGTAAGGAAAATTAGTAATGACAATTTATTAGCTGTAGCATGGCGTGGTACGCAACTTAAACAAACAAGGAACATGTCAACATGATTAATAACAAATCCTACGTTCAACACTATTTTAATGCTTGCGTTATTTGCATAATTGTGATGGTATATCAAGTTTTGTTATGAGTTAATGACTTAAATGTTTATAAACCAAAAACGGAGGACAGGAGAAACGATTATTCTGTTTGACCACTAAGAACTGAGTTCTGGACCATATAGGTAGTATAAAAAATACAAAGTAGAGACTAAAAAGGGGACACCCGGGTTTGAACCGGGGACCTCTCGATCTGCAGTCGAATGCTCTACCACTGAGCTATATCCCCTGCTTGACTAGGTACGCGATGCCTTTTCATTCCTTCGCCAAACCCGCATAAATGAGAGGGGTTACTAATCCCTGTTGCCGTTCCGTGCTTAACCAAACGTAGGTATTGGGAATAACCGGAAGTATGATAGAGGGGAGTTTGAGTCAACATAATCCCACGCGATTACGCACAAAATAAAACTCAAGGGGTACCTACTACAGATAATAGATCAATAGTGAATCCGCAAATATCACCAAAGCAATAAATATAAACGAGTTTAGAACGTCTGAGAATGAACCTCATGGAACTATTATTAGTTCACTTTATTACCACACTAAGCTACAATTTCGATAGGTTAATCAATGGTTGCTCAAACCGCCACGATTTTTTCCATCCGTCTAATTGTTTCAATGCGTCTAATTCAATTTGCTTGCTAGACTAGTGTTGCATTTTCGATTACTCGCTATTATTTGCCATTACAATTGATTACACTTGTACGTGCACGCGTTTTATGTTATTGTAACATGGTAACACACTTTTGAATATTAAATATTGCGTTTTGTTGAAATTCTTGTATTATATTATCTTTTGTGTTGCCAAGGCGCATCTCCTCCACTAGACATTCTGTTATTTGATATTTGCCGGTCTGGTATAACATGCAATAATAACACGGATATTATTGAGAGAATAATTCGCCGGCTCACTTGCACTTTTGCACTTGTTCTAATCTCAAAACTACATACAATCTGTTTCATGTAGAATGTCAAAGCATAAATTTTACCTTTTATACGCATGAAGATGCATTACTAATTTTTCCAAGTCGTACTTACATGTTATGCACTTAATGTCAACCATTTTACTTGTCAGTTTGTAATGTTTTTAATGTTGCTGTACTGCCGTTAGCATTTGAACACTTTGTAGATATCGGTGTAATGGCAGCCAGGCATTCATTATTTATAAATGCGTTTTTCCATAAAAACGGACGTTTCATTTGTGGGATTGGTCGTTTTGCATCTCTTGCATGTTCTCGCATCTTCGATTGGGAAGAGGGCCCAAGAGAGCTAGCTGTGATGCCTATATAAACGTGGCAAGATTAAACAAATTGGCTTCACTTATTCGAATATTTCACTGAGTGCATCTTGAGATTTACAACGTTTCAAAATGCATCGATTTGTAAGTTATATGGATTATTTAATATTATAATCTTAAGAAAAATAAAAATTTTAGAAAATTTTGACGTCAGTGATAACAGTACTACTTGCAAATTGTGCACTGGCTCAGCGAAATGTGTACAATCCAAACAGCCTCAACAATGTCCCCATTCTCAAGAACAATTACGATCTCAATCCGGACGGCTCTTATTTTTACGAGTGAGTACAAAATATTTTACTAAACGAAATGTTATTTCCACATTCATTCATCATACGGCTGTACGAGTGAAATGACATAACCGATTCGATAATTTATAAGATGAATTTCTTTTTTCTTTTTTTTTCTCGGTTTTAGTACAATTATATTTAATTTGTCGAGGTTTAACAAAAGTTACTTTGTTGGTTTTATATGACAAGTCAATATTAACTTGTCTTTGGATTTCATTGTGATGTAATGCGCTGTATTTGACGTTAAATAACCATATGGCAACATAAAAACAACAGTAATTATAGAAAAATGTAACACCGAATAGGAATCTTGTCTCGGTTTGACTAAAATAGAGTTTTATGGTATTTTCCAAGACATCAGTCATCTCAACACATTGTGAGACAATATTATTTTGCTTTTATTTTTTTAAACTTAAAAAATAACGTTAAAAACGCGTAAATTATAAAAAAATTAAATATTTTACATGATTTTATTCGTGATTTTTTAAATTTTAAAATTTGTAAACCAAAATAAAAGTTTAAGTTGAGGTTAAAGAACGAAACGCATCTGCAACCAACATTGCATTTATTTTACTGCAAACTAACATATCCCATTTATAATTTTGCAAAATCTGCACGTGATCAACACTTATTATTGAATTAAGTATTGATTATATCAGACGTAAGGTGTGATTTAATCTAAAATTAAATTCGGCCTTGCTCAGATTTTCACTCTTCTTTTTCTTTCACATCTTCATCAAGGAGTGCCGGCCATCCCAACACTACATACTCTACTACACTTGTAACAATTGCAATTGCAACAATTCGCGTGCGTCAAAGCGTAACAATTCAAATTAAACCGTCCAACTGAAATAGCATCAGTGTATGAATAGTTCAAGGTCAACATAGACACATTCCCAGCACTAAAAATGTTTTCTTCATGCTTTAAATACAAAGATTAATGATTCTTCTATTATTTTTTTAAATATCAACAGATATCAAACTGGTAACAATATTCAAGCACAAGAACAAGGCTTTTTGAAGAACCCTGGTAATGCACAAAGTGAAGCACAAGTAATGCAAGGCTCATTCTCGTACACTGGTGATGATGGCGCACAATATTCTATCACATATACAGCGGATGAAAATGGCTTCAATGCACAGGGTGCTCATCTGCCTACTGCGCCACCAATACCGGAAGAAATCCAGAAAGCCTTGGCATACAACGCTGCGCATCCAGAGGAAGACGCTGATGGCGTTGTACGCGGTGGAGGTCGTGGTTTCGGACGTTAAAACAATGATATTCTAACCGATGTACATTTCACAACCGACTAAGTAGGCAAGGAAAGGAAAAGAACGCAGCAGCTGTATCATAAATTATTTTTGTATATTAATAAATTAATTTGAAAAAAACTAAAATTTGGTACTTATAATGTTTTATCGAGCCGAAGTAGAAAGCAAACATGTTATATTACAATATTCTGTGTAATTCTGTGTAATATTATTATAAGTTGTAAATTTAGTAAATTATTAATAAGTTGTTAGTATGTAATGATACAATAAATAAATTTCGAAAGGGCAATGCTGTCGGCGTTTTATGGGAAATTTCAAATTAAATAACACATGTTTCTATGATATATCTATTTAATTTTTATATATTAATTAAACTCACCTAAAAATTTATTTAAAACTGCAAATTTGCAATTGGTTTTTATTCTTAAGATTATCTCTGATTATCTTCTGATTGTTTGTAAAAGGTGTTAAAACTCAAATTCAGCTTTGCGTGCAATTGATTGCTCAATCCTATTCAATCGAGATTAATTCTTTCCAATTAGACTTCAATTACATTTCAATTCATTGCAGGAGATCCGTTTTTGGCACAAATTGAAAATCCGCACACAAAAACGCAAACCTTGACGTTTACTGACGCTAATGACACAAAAAGAAGATCTCAACAATACACAAATCTTAGAATCATAAGTTTTAAATCTTCAAATTGTTCAAATCGGCAAATCTACAAAACGAAATAAGTACCTACAGGAATTTAATTCAATTGTTTTTCTCGACAGTAAGATTTGTCAATATCCGTTAAAATACGAATTGTTTTAACTCTTGAATATTTTGTTTCAGTTTTTGCTAGAAGTAGAATATTAATTCTTTTATATAATTATTGACTTCCTTTTACGCTTTGTCTTCGATAAATGTTAAAACTTTTTGATACACTAATATTTTAATTCCTAATGTCATTCGCTTGGGAAATACGCATAATTAATGCATATTAATACGAAATGGACGCGCATCTCACCTGATTTAAATAACAATGGGAGCTCATTTACGCTCCGATCGTATTTCACAAAACCTTGGCATATCTGTATAAGCAGCGCATATCTTTTGGACCATCCTCAAAATGACATAAGTCTCAAACATCTACACTTGCTAATGAAACATCAAAAGAATACTCCAAAAAAACAAACAATTTGAGAAAATCATTAGTAATCTAAGATTTATATAGTTATTCATTAAATACTCAAAAACCAAAAACAATATTAAATTGATTTTTTTAGAAAAAATTGAATGTGGTGTTAAGAGAGGTTAAAATAGATTTGAAGATAGGTTACGTTCAAAATTTATTAAATTGACATTCGTTAAAAAGTAGGTAATTATTGGATCCTTATATCATAAGAGTTAAAACTTTAAAAATGATTTAAAACTATAGAAAATGAATTTTAAAATTAATTGCCTTAAGTTAAGTAGAGTTTGAGTAATAAGCCAAAAACTTTTTTTAAATTCTAACTAAAGACGCCGAGACTATAGCTTAATCCTAATCAGTTGTTGCTTAAGCAAACTAAAAGAAACATACAAAAACCATATTTAATCGGTTAATCTTCATCTGCGTGTGGATTTACATTAATTTATATTAACATGAATGCGTAGGCTGGTCCAATACCATCCTTTCTAAATCATAGATACTAATTCGTAATAAAATACATAACATAATCGTAGACAATACCGCGTAATGAAATTTAAATTTTATCGCAATAAATTTCGTCTAATTTTGAGCTCTCATCGATTGTCTTCGATTCACCACAACACAACTCAACAAATTACATCACTGATCATAACTGATCTTTACTTTACGTAGATTTGATGTTTTAGACCAGGCATGCTGTTATTGTTATGGTTTTTTGGTAGTTTTGGCATTTTATGAATCATTACAATTCAAGATGAGCCAACAATCTGCAACAAAAATCGAGTTAAGAAAGCATAGCTAAAATGCCAATGCAATTTTAAACTATAAAGCTATTTAAAAACGAAATAAATATAAAAAGTTATGTTTATGTTCTGTTAAGTATTAACTATGTTTAATTATGTTGCAAGCCGGTAAAAATAGAAAAGTAAAAGTAAAAATCGTCTGGCATGTGCGCCAACACGTAAACTCACGTGAACAACCAAAAAATGTTAAAACAAACACTAATTGTCCCAATCTAATCACCTAATCACTTAATCGTTTGTTAATTACGTTGGAATTTATGGTGTGAAATTGGTGATTTGTCAATTTGATCGAGTAATAAGTACATTCTTTTGAAATATTTGATTGATACGTAATATTATGCTTTATGTTACACTAAAAACACAAAAAACGTGATGTATGCCAATTTTGGCTGTAATTGGCATTCAAAATTTTGATTTTTATGGTTTAACCTATAGCGTTCCGATGCGTACACGTCAAAATTGCACGTTTGCAATAATTGTGTATTAGCATAATGTTCCACTTAAAAATACATATTAATAAACATCGTGCGAATGTAAAAATGTAAAATATGTTGTGTTCTCAGTTATGATATTCGTATTCTTCGTTACTAGTTGTGTTATAGTTAGTTAGTTAGATTAACATTATGGGCACTCATTGGCATATCAGAACTCCCATGGGCACAGACATAATTCAACGGATATTTTGCTATAATATTAATTTCAAGGTTTTGATGAATTGAACGTGAAAGGTTAGGTTACAGGAGTGCAAATGTGAGTTTTAAGCAGATTCAACTGAAATTTTACGAAAACTTAAATCCAATTAAGTTAAAACATATCATTTTATGCTCGTTAAATTAAAATTTATCTAAAGTTCAATGTGAAGTGTTGAGTTGAAGATTACAATAACTATCGAAGAATCTCGTAGGATAATTGATGCATAACATAACCTAACATGTAGCATGTAACTTGGAATGACAAATGTGATTTGAAATTGATTCTTGCAAGTGCAATACATATTCTATCATGTAAGGTGTTAATAAGACGTATGATTAGTCATAAATAATAAATATGTATTAGTTGATGAAACATTAGGAAGATCAACAGATGTATTTGAAATAAATTTGTGTTTTGTTTTCTCTCTTACAACATAATTACTCTACGTACAAGTTAGGAGTCTTATTATTTCTTTAGGAATTTATTGCAAAAGCATAGTTTTCATTTGCATATGATATTTCCACAAAATTCATTTTCGCTCAGCAATGCGAAGAAATATTCACAAACAAAACGATTGCAATCAAGTCAGATCTCTATAAGTTCAAAACAAAGAATAGAGCAAACTAATAAACTATAAACAACAATTATTATTTATTATTAAGTATTGCAAAATTATTAAATTATTAATTTTGTTTGTATTAGTAAATTTACGAGACAGGCATGTCTCGAGTTACTTTAGTTTTAATTAAATCTGTATATTTTAGTTTTGAAATTTATGCATTCCAGGTTTGAATAATCTTCTCATTGTTAACTAATTTTATTGATGTAAATGCTTGGATTTACAAATTATATTATATTAAAATTTATAATTGGCTAAGTAGGAATAAATATCATTGTGTCAGTCATATTTTTGTTTTTCTTGCTTGTTTACAATTTATTACTTTGTCTAAAAACGTTTATTAATTATGAACGCATCCGACTTTTGTTGGTCTTGTTGACGCTTATATGAATTAATTACTGGGAATTGATCGTTAATTGCTGCCGCTTTATCATTATATTTTTAAAGTAATAGAAATATATCTTTTTTAAAGTAAGTCGTTTGTTAAAACTTCAGTTAACTTAATATAAAATTATGATACTCCAATAACTTGTACGTTTATAGAATATTTAGCAAAAATATTATGACAAGAAGTTGTATATGACGCACTTTCCAATTTTATTTTATATTCAAATTTATAACCAAAAATTGAAACTATTGTTATTATATTACTAGCTTTTGCCCGCGACTTTGTCCCGGGAGTGTTTAATAAAAATTTAATTTGTTTTGTTCTAGACATAGTATGTGTCAATTCTATCAATATAATTTGCAATTTTATTTTAAAGAAATTAACTATATAAAGAATTGCTAATAATGCACTTAAGCGGGCCATCTCGGATTCAACTATTTAACTATAACTATGATTGAATCTCAATGCCAATTTTTATCCTATTGAAAAGGGCTGTCTTTAGGGTTTTCCCGGCAATTATTCGCATGTTTCTCGCAGTATAAGCCATCCTTGGACTTTAACAAACATTTAAAAAAAAGAATTGGCCAAATTGGTCTAAGCGTTGTTGAGTTATGAGCTTACTAACAGATTTTGCGATTCATTTTTATCTTATAGATTATAATGTATATTATTATAATAATATAAAACTACTACTATTTAGCTTATATTTTAATTTCACTCAATATTTCAGTCACAATTATACCTACATATCTTATTATAAGTGATTTGTTGCTCTGTGTATTGAGCAACCGCAACAAATTAGTCTTAGTAACTAATGATGTTACCTTATCTGCTGTGGGCGTACAAGTACATATACCAACTAATATTCCAGTGAACATTAAATTGATACACCTTAAAGTAGTTACAATTACAATTAGAACCAACTTTACCTTCATCTTTCTGCAATCGCCACTTAAAAATACTTAATTTCTGCATGCATCTTTCGCTTTGGAGGCGTACCGCATCTGAGATGATTAAACAAATGGTACAAATGACTCAGACGACATTTCCAAATAAATAAGATTACTATATATGCCACTTTTAATGGTACTTCATTTGTTAATTTGATATTTAGCAATAAAATAAAACAAAAAACATTATTACTAAAATATATATATAAATATATAAATATAAATATATATTACTAAAATAGTTAAAAAGTTATCATAATTAACAATATTACAATATAATTGTATAATATAATATTATAATATGTTTATTTTACTTTCTAGAAACAAAAACTTTATTCGGATATTTTTTTAAATTTCGTTTTTGTCTTCTAGTAAACTTTACAAAATAACGTTGCATTTCATTACATAATTTTATCGATACTATTAAATAATAGCCAATAATTACAATCGAAATTGGGGAATACGAATCTCGATGCGTCGATTGCACCATCGCTGCTCTACATTCATTACCATCTGGGTGCATCTTCAGCTCTCAGCGCTTTAGATCAAACCAATTGCGTTATTGATTATAGACTCCCTCGCCTCTTACTGACACAACCCGGTTATTATTACATGCCGATATGAAATTGCAAGTTAATCTGACTCACGCATAAATTAATCGCAGTGAGAGTAAGTAGGAAAACAATCGTTGGAATTGGAACAGCCCTGACCTCCGGCTCTTCTGATCTGATCTTCGACAGCAGGCGATGACGGCTGGTTTGGTGGCAGCATCACCGGTGGTCGGCGGAATAGTTTGGGGTGGGTGTGCCGCTGTGTAGCGGGAGAATATAAACACATCGCCGCTGATCTCAAAGCTGCCAAAAGTGATCTGGTTCTGAGAGAATCATTGCCTGCAATTGCCTTTGAGTTTGTTTATTGTGTTAAAGTTTGGATTTTGTGTGAAAAATTGAATCAATCGACATGAAATTGGTAAGTTATATTCATAGCAATATAATGTATATTCTTAAAGTTAAAAAGTGTCGTAAATTGTATAAGAAAAGTAAGTATATAAAAAAGAGATTTTTCAATTTTTTTAAAATTTTCATTTCAGAATGACATTTTGACTAAAGATTACGGTTTTATTTTATGGCCTAAATTTTAAAATGTAATTTGATTGTTGATTAGTTTATCAGAAGTTGATTACGTCAAATTTCTCATTCGTTTTTTACCAAACTGAAACTCAAAAAACCAAAAACAGCTATTTTTAATTTGGATTTTGATTTTTTATCTCAAAATATGACATATACTTAATCTAATTAGTAAATTTGTAAAATTTATTGCTATTTAAAAACAGAACATTATATTAATGTTAATTTAAAAATACCGGAAGCAATAACTTGTACATAGAACGCGCAGTAGTAAGTAAAAACCTAGACGAGCGAGGATGTTCATTGTTTGAATAATTGAGCCATAAACTTGTTTGATTTTAATTAGGATTAGCTCAAAGATCGCAGATAACTACATATTTGTACATTGTGCACTAAACAAACGCTTTAAACGCTTTTAAAATTGATTTATGCACAATACAATCGGTATAAATATGGCTGAATGAGCATTTATGTTAGGCAACCCACTGTTCTACATAAACTATAACTATGTTTATAGTATTTTAATAACTAATATTTATTCTATTGTTTTTAGTTAATCGTTTGCTGTTTGTTCGCTGGCGCGTTGGCTGCCCCCCAATATGGCGCCTATCATCAAAACCAAAACTACAACTATCAACAAAGAAGTTTCGTCCCAATTGTATCCGAAAACAACGAAATAAACCCAGACGGTTCATATCGCTACAGGTATTTTAACAACTCTATTCAAAAAATTTAAATTCTAATTGTTTTCGTTTAAGTTACGCAACTGCTGATGGCCAACAAGCTCAAGCATCCGGCTATCTGAAGAACGCCGGCACGCAGGCGGAAGCCGAAGTAGCTCAAGGATCGTATTCGTACACTGCCCCAGATGGTACTCCGATCACAGTCAATTGGATAGCTGACGAAAATGGTTTCCGTGCAGAGGGCGCTCATTTACCTACACCACCACCAATTCCGGAAGCTATCCAACGGTCACTGAATCTTGTTGGTGGAAACAGATACAACCAACAACCATACCAACAACAAACTTATAACCAGCCCACGTATTCACCACAAAGGCATTTTGGTGGTAATCGTTATTATTAGATATAGCTGTCTAGAAATGACGTAAGAGATTTGCTTTTATCTACTCCACATTGATTTGTCGAAATAGTGTGGATGTTGAAGAACATGCATATTTGATACGTAATTTTATGAATGTATGTACAATTTTAATATTTGTAATAATAAAAGCATAAAATATTTTGAATTTAAAGATTTTTTAGTTTTTTTTTGTTTTGTTCGCAATAATAGTCAATAATTGTCATTTACACCTAATAATCCACACAATATATGCAACCAACATTACACTCATGTTAAATCATCATTATAACCTCAAAAATAAAACAAAACAAAAAATTATCCTTAATTTAAAGATTTCTAAACATTTTTAGTTCTATTTAATAAAAAATCTCATTTTTAACAATTATATTACAACAAATATTATTTTTTTGGCGTCTACTATTCTAAATCAACTTATATTTCAAAATAAATTCTATTTTCTTTTATTTCCCAAGCCCACCACCAGAGAGCGATGCCAAAGCAGCAGAAGGAATGCCCAAAACTGGGCCTCTATTATGAGTGGCAGCAGCTTTCCCCAAATGTTCTCCTTCAGCTTCAAAACCATGGTCAGGATGTGAAGTGTATCCCACTCGATACTCTTGACCATCTGGTCCAGTATAACCGTAGAAACCACGCACAAGTAAAAATTCATTATCAGTGCCAGCATTCATTACTTCAGCAATTTCTTCACGCGTAATTCCATCTGAAGTTGTCCAACTAAAAAATGCACACGACATTTATTATGTATAATAAATTTATGATGATTTATAGTGTTTTTATTATGATTAGCAATTCTTACGCGTATGAGTATCCACCATCGTCGTTATTCTGATAGTCGTATTTTGTTATAACGGCTTGTGATGGGTCTTGCGGTCTGGCAAAAAGTTGAGCGTTGAATGACATCAGGACAAAAAGACAAATGGCCTGTAATATTAACTTGGGAAATTAGTTTATTGACATTTTGAAAGGCGGCAAGTAATTTTCATTATATTTTATTTGAATGTGATTTTTGATGCAATAAATTAGTCGCAATTAGTGTTTTCGCAAAATTACGTAATTTGTATCTATTGACCAGTGAAGATATTATGTTATAAATGAATCTACAATACATCAGGTAAACTTTCTTTAGCTTTTTACGACATCTTCATTAACATCACAATCACAACCAGTAACGACCAGAAAGCATCGCTTTTTAGTGTTAATGAATGTATTGCATCAAATGTTCAAAGCAAAGTCACAAATTGTTAACACGTAACAAAATTAACTTTATTATGTAATGCTATTAACATAGCAATACGTGTTTGGAGGAAAATGTTTATGAGAGAAAATTTACAATGATTAATTATTTAAAGATTTTCAAATTTGTCGATTAGTTTCGGTAGTAATGAATAAATCAGTAGAAAATTTCAACTGTAAGTACTGTAAGTACCGATTACAACATGTTGACTAATAATTCGCAATACTAATCAATGGGATAGTAAACATTCTCAGAGTAGTACTACTTATACGAGTAGGTTACTACATTCTGCGGTCTGCCAATCAATCAGATATTGTATGAAAAAAGTTTAATTCAATTTTTAATGAAATTTTGCAAATAGGGATTGAAAAAATGTTTTTTTAATGTTGAAGATAACTTTATGATAAATTCGTGTATAAAAATTAAATTGGTAAAATATAAACATATCTATAATGCCTGTAAATCAGTAATAGTAATTAACAAAGGTAAAAAAGACTACTTTTACGCACTAGTAGTTAAAAGTATAATTTTAGACACTCTTTTGTGCAAACTACGGTTGTGCTATTGTTAAAAAAAATGCAAAAAACAATTTGATTCAAAAAAATAAACCGCATTTATCATTTGTGTTATCAAATTCTACTAAAATTATAAATTTTATTTTTTGGATGATAAATATGAAAAAAAAAAACTTACGGTTTTCATTGTGAATAAAATAAAATCTTCCTTGTTTCCAACACACAATTAAACTTATTTATATTTTTATTAGTAATACTTATTTAATAATTTCACAGATAATAATAAAATTTGTTTGTGCATGTAGCAACTACTATCTATAATTCTAATCTGTTCACGTGTGGCTTGAAGCCCCTGGTATTTATATGAAAACGCAAATCACCTCTTCTACTCCTCCATCTTGAGCTCGTCAACGGTGTGCCTTCGTCGGTTTTTCTCTCGTCGCGTACTCTCATCTTCGTCCACGCTCTTCTTTATCGTTAGAAATTACTACATAATTCACTTTCTATGAATAATATGCAGTAGTTTGGGTAGTCTTGAATAATACTTGTGACGCATGTCAATGAATTCTCGATTTGCAGTAGATGTACCTAGTCGCATTGATGGTGTTTGAAAAAAGTGCAATCAAATGTTGAGAAATCATACCAAAACAAATTAAATTAAATTTTGTGATTTGATCATAATCTTGATTTTTTGATGGCCAAATAAAGGATACAATAAGTGTTTATGGGTTATGAAGAGAAAGATTGCATAAACATTTAGGTAATTAAAATATTGCTAAATAAATGTCTTGCTAAATGTATTTTCACTCTCTTTAGTTTCTAGTAAATTTATTATAAGTTAAGTTGTATTGATACGCTTTTACTAATTATTTAACTAATTTGTCATTTTAAAGACAAATTTTACAATAAATGACAGTATTTTAGCCATTAACGATGACAAAACTTTATATATGACCCATAACTGTGACAATAAGTGTGAAATTTATCATTAAGTAAGTTAAATACCGTTAGCTATTAATGCAAATTCAGGATTACAACATCGATGCAAGCAATTTGATGCACACGAGTTTGACACCATTCAAACTGATTCAAAATCACAATTTTCGCTGTAATCAAAGTTCCACCGAGCTGCACGCACAGCGACTTCCGTGTACCAGTACGTATTACACACGTTAATGCATGCCGATTTTACGATTATGCGATTTTGTGAATGCAATCAGATGCGCGTGCCATATTTGATGTTACGCCTTCGTCGTCGATTTGTCTATGTACGCGTGATGCGTTGCGTTGCGTTGGGTTTATAATTCGACTTTATTCAATTGCTTTCAATTTCGTGTTGCCGCATACCGCAAAGAATCAAAATGTCAAGTTAGTTAGAATCCATCAAATCAGATGACTGCTCGAAATACATTAGAAATTAAATTATCCGCTTTTTAACAAGTTGGTAACATGTGTTTGTTTGTTTAAAAGAATTAATTTCATGAATTAAACAAGTTGGATGAATGTAGGTATGACTATTTACTTTCACACAATTGACATATTGACATAACCTTTATTATACAAATACTTGTCACTTGAAGCGCTTGAAGAGAAGCAATGAATAGGATGTTGTAAATATCTAGTTAACTTAATTACATATTATTTTAAACTTTGTTAATCGAAAAGTTTGATAGAAATAAGTTAAATTTGAGTTTTAAGTTTTTAAAAAAAAACTTCTTTGTGAAATTTTATCCTAACCTCACTTTAGGTAATCAAAATATTTTCATTGTTGATGATAAATTATGCGTATGCGTGGGATGAAATGACAACACACCAGTCTTGAACTCGTGTACATGAAATCCGGCACATGCCATTCTTATGCAATGTAATATGATAAATGATAGTTAGTTAAACATGGGAGAAATGCGATAATACCGATGAACGTCTCCGTGGTTTATGTCGATGTAAGTACCAATAACAACAATAATTTAAAGGTTTAAATATAATCAAATATAAAATGTTTAATGAACTTTATCATAGTTTAAATTAAATTATTTTTTTATTTTTATAAGAAAAATATTAAAATTTCATAAACACTTTTTAAACTGTGTAAATATTTGTATAATCAAGTGAAAAGCAAAGAATGCAATATCTTTAATGACAAATAATCTTATACATATTCTAATGGATGTATCGGATTAGAAATCAGTCGTGAGTAAATTTATCGTACTCAAAACGCTTAAGGATTATGAAACACTGTATCAACAATAAATAAAATAAGTAAATACAGGCAGTATATCATCGTGACCATACACCATATGTGTATTCTTTCATTTTGCAAATAATATCATAATTACTTGCATTATTTTTTTAAAACGCTTAAAATACTTTTAAAAAAATATTTTTGCTTTATTTTTTATATTTATACAAAATAGTAATCTTTAAATTCATCAATTTAACATTTTTATGATTTTTTAGTGGTTAATTCAGATAATTATTTGTTCTTTTCAAAAACTCCTTGACTGGAATGATTGTTCTGTATGACTTCAAACAAATCACTCTGTGCTTTGCGATACGCAGCTAAATTCCTCGCTCTACCACGCCTGCTCTTCACACCGTCTGTTTGCTTCACCGGAACGGCAGTAGATGCCGCTGCAACATGATTAAATGGCGTGACCGTAACAGAATTAACTCTGGGTGATGGCGTGCTTGGAATATACGCTGTCGATGGTAAACTTGAAAATGTTACGGGGTTTCTATCATTTGAGTACGCTCCTACTCTTACACTGACTTTATCTTCATCTTGACCTGAATGTCCTTGGACTACCACCGATGGCGTGGAAGGTATATATGTATTGGTAACACTTGGTAACGGAGGTTGGGGAGTTGTACTTGGCACTTGTTTACTTGTATCTGATGGTAGGTTATGTTTTTTAGTTTGTATGGAAGTAGCAAAGTTATCTAATTGTGGGGATATGACGGGAGGTTTTTCACTAGACGGTAAATATGTTTCCTCTGGTTTATAATGTCCATCGTCCACATCGTCACCAAGAATGCGATTCACTGGCCATGGAGTGTACGGTGGGACATTGATGTGATCTCCAGTTGGATGGTAGCCATCTTTATCGGCGACGTAAGTGACGGTGTACTGAATGCCATCAGCGCCAAGGTACGAATAAGAGCCGCGTACCACGAAATCGGATGAGTCTGCGTGTTCACCTTTCTCTTCCTTCGTTTGACCATCGCTGTTTTCATATCTTGGAATGAATCACAATTTCAATTAATTACTTTACTATTACTTTATTAGAGAAGAGATCAAAATATGTTTAAGAAGTGAAAAAAAGTTTAATTTATTGATTTAATTTTTTGCTTCTATTTGTTTTATATTTAATATGTTTTTTTTCTACTTCCACCGTTAACTTCCACAATTTTTAGCAACAAAAAGTGTTTTTTTAAACATGGATGGACAAGACCGTGACTTAAGTACTATAGTGTGGGGTTTTAGTCACGGGGTGGAGCTTATGCTTGCGCATTCGCCTACGGTGCAGCACAAGACCATATAAAATGCCGTGCGACGTCGGGTAATCAAGTCAAAGTATTAATTTTTAAAAATTGCTAAATTTTTGTTCATTTTTTTGCGTTAAAACGCAAAATGAAACTCAAAATTCATTTAGTCATTTAATTATATTAAATCAAAGCATGTAATATTGGGTTAAATGTTGAAAGATGTTAAAAGATTTAAAGAGGAGTAGTTTTATAGGTCATTTTACACTTCAAAGTTCTGAAATACTTTGTGTTGTATATTTACTTACTGATAAAAATATGAACTGGGTTCATCATGAGTAAACTCATATTTTAAAATTGTTGCAACTTTGCTGTCATCTAACGCAGTCGCTATCGAAATGAAAACGAACAGGAAAATAATCTAAAAATTAAAATTCACCAATTAAAATTCCTCTTATATTAATTTAATTACTTTTAAAACTCACCATCAATTTGCAACAATCCATTTTTAATCCTTTCTTGACACCTCACAAGAACAACACCAACAAACTAACTAGTAGCCGCTCCAAAAATCGATAACGATTTATATACGAACGAAAGCTAAAACAAACCCCACTTCCTGAACATGCATTTAATTTTGATTTCATATTCATTTCACCTTTGCCTTTGCCCGTGTGCTCATCACTAGGCCTGTGAAGTCTGGCTGTTTGGGCCATCAATCCATTAGGCATCATAAAATTGTACATTTTTAAATCCATTAATTTTTTTTTTCAATTTTTAATTTGCATGAATAAATAAATTATTACCTTATCAACACACCGATAGACAAATTAAAATTTCTCTGGATTATATTATCATTTGAATATTATTCAAGAGACATAATCGGTAAATCTTTACATTTTATACAAATATTACTTGTACATACATATTCATCATTCATTACGTGTAAGATGTCAACAGAAATGTTGTCTTAAAAAAATCTGTCAAAATACACAATGAATTAAAGAGAGTATATCATCGAAACAATGTTTGGATGTAAACTTACACTTTACGTAAGATAAAACTTAAATATTAAGTGTGTGTAAATTTAATTGTAGATATTCAATAATACATATTCAATTTGGAATTCAAACATTAAAAGTTTTTCTTCCGCGTCGTGAAAAAATTTAATGTTATAACTTTTATTACTCCACGTAAAAATTGTTGGAACTTTCTTTCCCAATCAAATCTGAAAGCATTCTATACCTACACGAACAATTTGTCGAAATTTATTTATTCAAAATTGTGTCGATACATGTGTCGATTATGGAAATTATCTAGGACGGAAACAGGCTTAAAAAATTAATACTAACGCTGGAATTTTTGAATTAGAATCGGAGTACCTTATAACCAAATATTGCAAGATGTCGGATGTCGAAGGTCGATGGCGAACACAGAAAACATGTAAGCACAGCGTGAGGACGCCGTGAATTATGGCTGAGCGCTAATCTTTGTATTTATCAACATGATTTTATGTCTACACACACGGCGATGATAAAATGCAGCAACAAAAGAAAGCGGGATGACAATAAATTACCGCAGAACAGTGTTGCAAATTATTTCGAATAGGAAAAAATGTTTAGTGAAATTTAATTAAGCCATTTGTATACTTTTCTAAATTAAGATAAACCAATTTTACTGCTTTGAAGATTTCCGGATGTTTACGTAATTCTTTGGATGGTTATTTTAATTGAAGTATTGAACACTAATAAATCAAGGTTTATTAATCATGGGCGATTTATATTATGTATGACAAATTTATAAAAAATTAATTAATCAATAAATTATAACTTCTTTTATGAGAGAAGTTAATTTAATTTTTAACCTGCTGTCATAAAAATAAAAATCTTTATTTTTATATTTTTCCAAAAATTAAACATAGAAACATAGGAATAAAACTCAAAACTCAAAAAATGATTTTTTTTTTCAAATTTGAAAATATTTATAAATAAAATAAAATATTCCACTTATTCATAGGTAGCTTTTATGCCTTTTTATTACAAGCACTAATAACAAGCAGTTACAAACAGATTTCAAGCAATTGAACGACGAAAGCAAAGCGATTATGATAAAATAAATACAAATTGATTTTTAGCATTTATAATGTAGGAATATGTTGACCCGTTGGCCTGTAACCATTTTCATCAGCAATGTAAGTAATGGTATACGTAACACCATCAGCTCCAACATATGAATATGAACCGTGAACAACTAAAGTTTCCTCTTTAGTTCCAGGATTTCTTAATTCCGCTTTTTCTTCTCTGGATACTCCATCACTGGTTTGATAGCTAAAAATATATACTCGTATTAATACTAACAGATTAAAATTGATGTTATTATTATTTACACAAAATTGTATCCATTTCCAGCATTAATAAAGTCCTGTTGAAGAATTTTTGCATTTTTTGAATTATCATTATACTTGTTTGGCTGGTGAGGACGGCTGTGAAAATTATTATGATCATGGTGGTGATGATGATGATGATGACTATCTTCGTAGGTTCCATCTGGATTACACATTGTAAATGTAAACAAACCCAACAATACTAGCACCTAAAATAAATTTATAAATTATTTTAGTTGTTTTATGTTTATTAGTTTAAATTAACTTACAAACTTCATGTTTGTTCTTTTAATTTTGTTTTAATTAAATTTTACTTTAATAGGATGCTTTTTATTGGAAACTGCTTGTGGTACTGAAATGATGCACTCATCATACCTCAATTTATAGTAGTTCTTAATCGGATTTATCAATCTCGTTCTATGTAGACAAAAATCGTTTATTAAAAGTAACATAGTAACATCCTGCGATACAAAACGTCAATTCTAACTAAAATGGAAGTTGGTACAGCTATTCAATGCATTGCTAAGTAGTTGTTAACAGTTTTGATTAAAATCTACACTAATATCAAATTAGCAGTAGCAGCGAAGCTACGATGAATTTAATGGTTTGCCTTTCATTTTGTTTCTCTTGTAGTAGCTACTATTGGTCAACTTTCATTGTTTACAAATTAATCATTGCCGAGTTATAGCAATGCAAACAATTTAGAAATTATAAATTTGATATTATATATGTGTTTAGCATTGTTGTTGTTAATTGTGTACTGAAATTTATTGTTTTTACGAATAAGTTAACGATAAGTTGTTTCTTAGCTATGTGAAATGTTAGTTGCCTATAGTAAACGTTTGGAACAAACTAAAAGTAATTTCTTCTTCATATAACAAAGTTTAGCAAGTAGTGTAATGTAAGAAGGCTTGAATCTCTTTTTATAAGTGTATTACTGTTTTCTTCTGTCATGTTAAAGCAGGAAAAACCAAGTACAACATACATACCTCCCCATTCTATTAACTTTTATTCAGAAAAACAAAATTTTCTACTTTTCTAAAAATGTTAAAGGTTTAGTCACAAATTTCATATTTTAGGTGGTTATATTATAAATTAATAGTCTCCCTATAAAATACACCTATAATAACAGGTAGATATTACTATTTTACAATAATTATTGCAATTACAAATTTAAAAAAAAATGGCAGGCGCATCCACCAAATTTGTGCACCTTACAATTTTCAGGATATTAAAAACTTACGTTTTATTCAAGACCCTCTAGATCAAAAGTGTTAAAAGTGCAGTAATCACACTTTAAAGTCAGATGTTCTAAATTTTAAATAAAGAATATGATTTATAAAATATTTATTTAATAAAGCCTACCGCCAACATATTCACTGTGTTATAAAATTATAAAATCAACAACTAACAATCAACAAATTAATTAATATTAATTGACTAAGAATTGAAAATTGACTAAATTTGCATATTCAACAACTGCTCAGTAATATTGCTGCTCATAGTGATGTTGAGCTTCTTCATGAGCTGGCTCAGGATGATGCGGCAAATGCTCCAAAGCCTTAGCAATTTCAGCTGGGATTGGTGGTGGTGTTGGCAGATGAGCTCCTTGTGGTTGGAAGCCATTCTCATCAGCAATATAAGTTAAGGTAATTGGGTTGCCATGTTCATCATGATAAGTGATGGTACCCTGCTGAACTAAAGTTTCATGCTTCTTATCTGCGCTTTCCTTGAAATAACCATGTTCGTGAACGTGGATTCCATTACCAGCTTCAAAACTAAAAAAATATATACATTTATCATAATTTCGTATCATTCCTAGTAAACTTTCTAGTTGTAAATGTCGTAAATACATTTTCAAACATTTTCACAAAGTAATTCAAACGACTACAATTGTTAAGTGGCTATTATTGCTAACTTTCATTAATTTACCTATGTTGGAAGGCGCCATGATGCTGTTCGAACGATTGCTTTACAATCGGAATCTGTTTATGTTCTTTTTGTTCTTCGTACGGATGGTAATCATGACCAGCTGGTGCTGTGTTTGCAAATCCGATTACCACGCAGATAGTGGCCAATTTAATAAACTGAAAATATAAAATAAATATTAATCCACCAATCAACACACTAATGTATCAATGTATCCAGTTATTAATTAATTAGACTTCCAATTATATTCGCACTTCTAAAACTCCAACTAAAACTTACATTCAGACTCATTGTGGATATTTTTGTTTGTTGTTCGTTTGATGTGATTGGAACGGGAACCCGGATTGGTTTGATTTCGAAACGTGCGCTTCGGTCTTTATATACCAGAAGGAACACAATGATTATACACATGGAACGCATATACCATCACGAATTGTAATACTGAGTATGTGTGTGCAAATTAGTAGTGAAATTGAATTATGAATTTATCGTTTGACGCGTTTTCATTAATTTTTGAGTATTCGCGCTTGTTTGCACTCCACTCACACACACACACACACACACGTTTGGATGTGTGTGCGAGCGTTTGCTTAAACTCTTTCATTTAATTGTTAAATTAGGAGCATGTGCGTGCATGAGTGTGTGTACATGAATGAAAGTTGGTGTAATTAATTTGATTCGCACTTGATATGCACATCACAGGTAGCTATATAAATTCGTGCTTTTTGAATTCATTTTAGTTAATTTGACTGTTGAAAGCAGGTTATTATTTTTTATGTGATTTAACTAGTTAATATTTTGCAAATATATTTTATGTATTTTATTATTTATTTAATGATCTGTGTAAAATATTGTGAATTGTTTTTTTTTTAATTTACTTCATAATTCTTCAAAAATTGAAAAATTGTGGAAGATACAATACGCAACCAACCATACAATTGTAATTTGTATTGTTTTGCTATTGTAAAACCATAACTTTTTTTATATATTATCAAAATATTAAGAAGTAATAGATCAGCACTGATAATTATAACAGCACTAATAATTTTCATTTTAAAAATTTAAGGAAACGTAATTATAAGTTATAATAAATGCATCAATTAATAAAAAAATGGTTTTAATGTAAGAGCAACTCGTGTTCACTCACTACATCAGGAATTAACGTATTAAAACGCAATTTGAGTAGTAACAATTTCAACAAATTAATAAATTTACATAATTCATAACATATAACGTAAATTCACAGACCATAAAGTCGAATTTCCCCAAACAAAACGTCAGCTACTGTTACAAGCCTTATTTGTTCAATTCTACGACATAAAACTTTCAATTTTTGATTCTTCGTTTTTTTATTTTGCTTCCTTTGACTGTGTTCTGTCTTTTCTTCTTTTATTATATACTGTAATACTTATTATTTGTATTCATCAACTTGGTACCTAGTTACCCAATTATGTGTCATGCCAAATATGCTAGAATCGGAAATAAATTAAAATCTAGTGCAAAACATTAGAATCAATTGATAAAGAAAATCGTCAATTTTTTCAACATGTTCAAAAATTCAGTTTTTGTATTTTACATCCAAAAAATATATTTATATAAAATTTACAAAAGTATACCTATAATATTTACATCAAAAATGTTTATAATAAATACTTTTCATCGTAAAGTAAAAAGTATAAATTGCAATCATTTTTCCTCTTTTCGGATTTCAATTAATAAAATGTTACAATCCAAATTACATCGCAACATTTAAAGATTCAAGTATGTGTCGACAATAAACTTTAAATTAACTTAAGTACTTTATACGCCTTAAGTGTTCTGTGACTAATATGTAAGTATATGCACAATTAAAATATGTATATCAACTTCATCTACTCATCCACTACACACTAAAACCTCCTATTGTACGCTTTGTACACAGGTATGAAGTTAGAAGCAGCTCCTTCTTTTTCCTCCTCAGGGTGAGCAGCGTTCCATTCAAGCGCTCGCATGATGGCTTCGGGAATTGGTGGCGGCGTCGGCAAATGTTCCCCAACCGGTTGGAAACCGTCTTCGTTTGCAATGTACTGCAAACTAATTTTTGTTCCATCAGGAGCTGTGTACGAATATGATCCTTGAGCTTCCATTGCTTCAGTTTCTTCATTTCCTGCGTTTTTCACATGGCCTTCTTCTTGAGCGGTTATTTCGTTCCCAGTTTCATAACTTAAATATTACATATTATTAAATATTTTGTATATAAGTACATTTTAGTAATTTTATTTCTACCTCCATTTATATGATCCATCAGGATTAGGTCCCTCATTTTCGAATTTTAAAATTGGTATAGGCTCTCCAGTTGATTGGCAGTCCACCAATGCAACTGAGAGTAAAACACCAACAAAAGCAATAATCTAAACAAAATAATTTTTTAACAAAAAATCATTAAACAAAAATTTAATTACATACCGGCTTCATTTTGGTGATAGTAATATGTAATAATAATAATTCCAAATTTAAGCACTGGTGATACCACTGTAAGGCACTATTACTGCTGTGGTTGATAAATAAAACTAATCACAAATTTAAGGGACATAGATATTTATACTCGGAGCAAGCCAAATTGCAATGCATCCCTTCTTCTTAAGTCAGCCCATCTCCAGAGCTTGTTGCTTGCATCTTCTGTAGTTTTGCGCTCCTCTCATGCGCACACATGACATCTGTGTTGGAGCGCGCCCGAAAAGTTCGACATTTAACCATTGTGTGCACACGAAGCACACCATAGAACACACACGGCTGTCTTTCTTCTTGCTTAGACTATAGAGACACATTCTTGTGCAATGTGCGTTCAGCAAAATTCGGTACGTGCAGACAATTACGTGCTCATAGCCGTCGTTCGGCGAAAAGATAGATGATCGTAATGATTGCACACGTGAACTTTTCGACGTTTCAATGAATAAGACGCTTCAATAAAGCCGTGGCGGATTAGTGCTTGATTCTGTAATTAAATTATCCCATTCGTTTTAGATGATCTATAGGGTTTGTTTATTGGGTTGCATACTAATCAATTGTAACACGCGGGAAAAAAATACCGAAAAAAATTAATGTAACATTTGGCGTATATTCCTAATTGCATCTGAATTGCATCTAAATTGCATTGTGGTTGCGTATTTAGCGTAATGTTTACTTAAGCACTGAATGCCTTGTTCTGACATTTAATGAAGATCATCAGTGATTGATTACGATGAGTACAACTGCTTAAATTTTGAATTAAAGTTATTTAATTGTTTGTTATCGCATGAAACATGACATATCAAGTGAATGAAGAATGGGAATTTGTTGGAGTTGTATGATTTCATTTTTACGATGTCGAAAGATCATGCGGTCATACAAGCGCATATCTTCACGCCGCAATTTATAAATTAAGAGGCGACAACAACAACCTTTCGGTGCGATTGTAAATCCATTTGTGCGTGTGCTTTTTTGCGTTCATTTTTCTCACTGGGAATTTAGCATGAGCGAAGAAGACGTTTGCGTGTAATATTCTGATAATGTGCGATTACTCAAAGACAGCGATGAGATTGAGCGTCATATAATTTAGCGTAAGTGAAAAAAATCGCAGTGTTTATCGTGCCATTTGCGTGCTACATTCTGTGTTGTTTAATCGTTTAATAAATATGTAAATTCTATCATAATTAACAATTGTTTATACTTACTGATGGCGTCGATTACCTCAAAAAACATATTAAATTATATTTTTACCATTAAAAAATATTTATTACAATTTTAAAACGTTTTAAAATATTTTATAATTTAAATTTATTGAATATTTAATTACAGTGTAAAACTAGGTAGAAAATTTAATTCGTGTAACACTTGGTATATATAATTAGCTCGGCATGGTGCAAGCACTTAAGATTTTGATGATAATTCTTAAGATGCGATGATAGTATAATACGCACAACTAAAAATAAAATATTTATTGATAGTTTTATTTCGTTTATTGCACAAAATGCGTAAAAGATGAAATATTAAACATTGTAAAGTGCTTCGTGGAATTTAACTGTTAACTGCAAAACTAAATATCGGTGTCAAACAACGATTACAAAATATTACATTAAACACTGCTAGGTTTTTAATGAAGTTAACCTAATACTCAGGTTATTGGCAATAGGCAACCAAACCTACATTTCATGTTATTTAAAAAAAAATTACTAAAAATTAATGTTTAAATTGTTATAGATCAGTTATAAAACTATAAAACTGGTTAATTTTTATTTTGTTTTATTAGACAAAGTATTATTTTAATTATTATGTAGTTTAAATATATGTACACCAATCCCAACAATTTATAAATAAACAACTCATATAACCTATTATTTGGCGAAAGAAAATATTACAAAAAATTATACATAATTGCTCGTTAACGCCATTGAAGATGTAATAATATACAATCGTATTGCAATTACGCTTTGTCACATTCATACCCATATAATTAGGCAATCTTTATCCAATTGTAAAAATAACTGAATGAATAGATTATATAAACAATCATACAGCGAACAAAACCCATCCACACATACATAAATGATTTTTTTACGAATTTCGTACTTCTAATGTGACTCTAATGTCAAATTCGAATTCGTACGCGTGTTCGGGTAACGAGTATGTCGAGTTCAACTAGTGTGGCGCACTTTCCCAAATCTCTGATGGTATTTCGTCCTCGCGCTGCTCGCGCACATAAATGTTTGAACTTTCAATTGCATTGTGCATTGAAAATTAAAATCAATTTAATGATTTATGCTATTTGTAAATTGGGATACATTACGTGTTGATTCAGGTTTGGTTACGCACACAAAATTTTCTCACAAAATTAAATAAAAACAAAAATATATATTTTGTAAGTGTTTTGAATGTTAACAAGACAGTAATTAATATTTTAATTACTCAGATAGAAAATTTACTGCTCTTCTACCCGTGGAGACATTTATCTAGTAATCATGCATGACGATGACTTTTCTCGCATGACATCTTCGCGTCGTGCGCTGTCTCATTAAGAGACATACTAGTCGCGTCTTTGATATACGAAAAAGCACCAACTGATCATTTACTTTGCTTTCCGATCGCTCTTGAGCCTCGCTGCACTTCGTAGGCTTGGTGCATCACACATCGTGTGGCTTATGTAAGAAACTTGCTTTTCGCCGCCGCCGTGGCCGAAATTACTTTCTCTCTCTATGAGAGAATCTCCAATAAAACCCGTGCACATCAAGTGATTGAGTAAGAACAAGTAAAACTGGCAGAACAACAGTTTGAAACAATTGAAGAACGCGAGAACACGAGATGCATCACACATTACAATGTTTAATGGTGCATTGTCCGTTTTTGTAAATGTTTAAAACGTCGTTTAACTCTCTTACATTCAACGTATCTATACTCGTACACTAGTATCGCTCACGTACGAATGAAAAATGTTTCAAATTGAATGCTAACGACATCTACCGAACAAAAAAGAAAGTTTTAATTGAAATTGCGATATGTTTGTTCTTTCAGACCGCATTTTACTCTTTATAAACTAATGAAATATAAATCCTTATTTGATTTATTTTGCGATTTTGTCAACTTTATTCATAAAGTTATCATCAATCGGTTGAAATGTTATTATTATAACTTCAGTCTATATAATACAAACAAACATTACATTTACATACAATAAAAACACAAAAGATAACAAAATCCGCTGATCGTAATCCATTCTTCACTGTCTTTATCATTCCGTTCTATAAATATCAATATAAGAATATAGGGTACGTTGTAAATATTGTAGTTATCATCTTTCATCTCATCTCATGTTGTTCTTTCAATTCGATTCCAAATACTAATATTATTTAATTATATTGACATTATTGACAACATCCCACGTTTCTATTGGCGGTATTGGTTCTGATTTTGGTTCTGATTGTTGTTGTTGTTTTGATACTGCTGGTGTTGATTCTGATTGTATTGACCGGTGTAATCCTGTTGTTGTTGAGCTCTTAATTGTGGATCCTTGGCAGCGGCTTCTGCCTGAGCACGGATACCAGCATAGATGAGATCAAGACCTTTCTGGACTTCGGGACTCACTGGTGGTGGGGTTGGCAAGTGGTCACCGGTTGGGTGGAAACCTTTCTCGTCAGCGGTGTAGTGCACAGTAATTACTTGACCCTCAGGCGATGTGTAGGTGTAAGAACCTTGTTGCACTTGAGCGTTCAACTCTTCACCTTCTACATCGGGATTGGGGCCTAAGCTCTTGAGGAATCCTTCTTCTTGGGCGAGGATATTATTTCCGGTTTCCCAACTAAAATATGAAATAATTAGTATCTATGTAATCAAAGTTTTTTTTTAATACTTACGCAGCTTTGTAACTTCCATCATTTCCCTGTTCTTTGTCAAAACGAATAATTGGGATAAATGTGGTTGATTCGTGTTTGCCTTGATAGTTATTTTGTGATTGGTAGTTGTTTACAGGTGCTGGTTGTGCTTTGTATTGTTGATCGTCATTTTGTTGTTGGTCAACATTTTGATATTGATCTTGTTGATGATTTTGTTGTAAATTTTGGCGTTTTGGGCCTTGATGGAATTGAGCGTAACTTACACCCAAGACGACCGATAACACAATCTAAAATAAATAAAATTAAAAAAAAAAATTAATGAATATTGAAGAAATATTAATTTTCAAAGTTATTTAGTCGTAATATTATATAATAAAATAAATTAAGGTAAAATTTAGCTGAGATTAACTTCGATAAGTTGTGATATAACAAAATAAAAGATGAATTGTTGGTTGTGCGATACTGTAACTTAAGAATACTTAAACAAGAATTAATTATAAATTATATAATTATGATAATCATAAATTTCTAAACAAGAAACTCTGAATTTATTGGATTTATGCATAAATATTTCTATATTTTGATGTGTAGATGTCGCTCGAGTCAACATATTTCAAAACAAATTATATTTTACATATTTTACTAAAGTATCAAAACTATTAAAGTATGTAACTCATAAAAATCCGTTAACAATCTCAAAAGTTCAAGTCATTTTACTGCAACCTCTACAGTTGTCAAAAGAAAGTTCAGATTTCTAAACACAATACCTCCACTTAAATTAAATGTCTCCATAGAAGTCACGATCATATTCGGAAAATAATTTCTTTAATTCATCAAGTATCACTTTTCAAAACTTTATGATACCAGAACAACTGACCCGTTATTATACCGAAATAAATTTGAAAATGTCAAAGGTTGTCGTTTAAGTATCATCCGATTGTTGCGCACGTAACTCTCAATAAGTTACTCGCAGCCTCTCTGCAATATTGTGAAAGGTGGGTGTCGTTTATGCAATAAGCACACTCCCTAAAATTATTCTCCCAGACCTACCAAACCTTCAACACTCCACACGACTTGCATTACCAAGCAGTAAAAACTAACACAGGCAAATAAGTAAAATAAATGAAACTTACCAAAAACTTCATCTTGAAGTAACAAGACTTGTTGCAATAGATGATTGTAGTTGGTAAATTGCTGAACTCGTCGAAAACTCTTTGGTGTGCTCGAGGATTCGAACGTCGACGGATATTTATCTGCGGTTTACTATATTATACAGAGGCACGTGCAGTGAAATCTCTTTATATATAACGCGCAGGCCGGCCGCGACCACTTCTTCGACCATCACTACGCATTTCTTTGCTCTTTTGCCACCACAAGCACAGGTAAAGCCACACACACACACCAACACAAGATGCAAGTTGCCGGAGATAGTTATAAAATGAAGCGGCGGTTTATTTTTTATATCGGCGCGAGAATTAAAAGCTGCGCGGTGAGTTACGATGATACAGATTTCGCAACCAACACCAACTCAACGAGATGCGACAGAGAAGCAAGAGGCAAGCATCAGACCCGAAAATATTTCGCGTTTAGTAGGCATCAAATTGCGCGCATGATTTAAATGTCACAGATGTAATAATGCAATATTTTGGTACTAACCATAAATCACACATCGTGTTAACTAATAAACAAATTTTGATTAAATTTGACTTTGAATTATCACCGAAATCAATTAAGGTAAAAAATTACAACAAAAATTTAATTTTTTAAATTTTAATAAGATTTTTAAAGTTGAAGAAAGTACTAGTATGATTTGTACCTCGGAATTACGTATTTCACGATATTCTGAGTTGATCCTTGGTCGTGCGTAATGTGAAAAGTGCAAATTACATACCGATTACCTTTACTACCAGGTAGTGTACGCAGATATAACAAGCACTCGTTGTATGATTAATGCACTCTGCGTATGATCAACTTGCCCACTTGCTGTAAACATATAAAGCTTCGTAATTCTTTGTTGCTGATTGTTAGGTAACACTCGACTATCGAGAGGTACTTGAACTGTTATTTTATGCAAACACACCAAATGACTAGGTTTAATAAATTAATTCGAAGTCATGGTCAATTTCTCTTTAATTTTTATTGCAATTTTGATTTTTATTGACGTTGTATGCAACCAACAACACAACAACACTTAAAAAGTCTCAAAAGAAGGTTAAACACCTAAAGCTTTTTTTAATTAAAAACTACTAACAATAAATCAAAGAATTCATGTGTGTGCACTTGTTGAACAAAATCTAAAAGTCATTCGATGTAATCCAATAGTGTTTGTGTAGTGCTGCCAATAGTGAATGCATACCAGAAGATGAGAATGTCGTTTGTTACTTGTTACTCTTGTAATAGAAGTAAAGTTGTCGGTTACTGCTTTAAAATCGAATTAAACCATAGACGGCAAATGAGAGTGAACGCGTAGCATGAAGGTGTGTAGAGTGTTTGGGCGCGTTTAGAAGCAAAATGTACTAAGCGCCGCATCGTTAAAAATTGATGCAGCGCACGAACGAAACGTATTGCACTGACCTTGACTGAAAGATAACGAAAACGAAAAGGAGTACGCGCGGTTACCAGCAACGAGAAATAGAGATCTGGAGAATGTTAAAAGTAAAAGTTCGTTCATCGTTCACTAATACGAGATAACTCGATAGTGAAAAGAAGTAATTGCATCGGGAAAATTTGTAGACTAACCGTGTCATAATATTTAACATACAGGGTGTGTAATAATATCAAAATGATGTTAACCTCAATCCAATATAAGCAAGTTTTACTTAAATATTTGAATATTTACATTTTTGTTAAGAGATATTTTGTATTATATCACAAATTATTTATAAACTGTTATCCTTTATATTCACATAATTATTTTTTTTACTTTTTAGTACTGAACTATTAATAGTGTTTCTTTTTTGTTTATTTATTGATGATTTGTTGGTGGAGGTGCATTTTGAGCATCGTCATCTTGGCTCAATTGCGGCAGCGTGTCGAGGACCTTTTGGATCTCGGCCGGAATGGGCGGTGGCGTCGGCAAGTGCTCGCCTTGCGGCTGGAATCCATGCTCGTCGGCCACGTAACTACAAACAATAGATTGAACCAAAATGGAACACACATTTCATTCAAAAACATGCTTTCACTTTCAATTCCAAAGATATCTATCACAAAAAATCACAAACAACGATTCTTATTATAACAATAAAAAAAAAACTTACGTCAGATTAATTATACTGCCATCCGGGGCAGGATAAGAAAATGAGCCTGTCATCACTTGAATCACTTGATCTTCTTGATCAGTCGATGATTTATCAATGATTGGCACTTTCTTTGTATACGCTGATTGTTGATAATGAATGCCATTACCAGTTTCATAACTGCAGAAGAAATTTTTTTGAATTCAATTTGTGTCTTGTGTGTTAATTAGTTGTAAATATACCTGTAATTAAAACTGCCATCTTCGCCCACTTCAGAAGCTGAGTTAATGATCGGAATGGGTGTCGTTTCGCCGCCATGATTGGCGACAGCTGCGTGCTCTTGCGGTCGAGCTATCACCAAACATGGCAAGATTGTTAGAAATAACACCAACTACAAAACAGTGAAATATTATTTATTAATATCTAAAATTCTATCTTTGACTCACCATATTAAGTTATTTTTAGAGTATATTCCACACTTAACTAGCAGATGACACAAATTCGAATGATGTGAAACTCACCACCTGATGTACGCTTATATACACGCATTGTATTTGTTTACCAGCACATTATTCACATAACAGAGAATAAAATTTATGCGATGCTTTGACATATGAAGCGTACGGTCCAGTCGCGAAAAGTGCTAACAAACTCAACCTCCAGTGCTTCCATTAGGTCCATTACATTCATTACATATGCATTGTGCCATTATACTGAATGCTAGAAACTGTCTGTTTATTTAAACGTATTACTGTCGACAAATATTGAAAGTTTTCATTTTACGACGCCATGTATAACACACGACAAACAATTTCGGCATCTTACGTGCACCAGGACTTTGTGTGCAATGTTTGGTGAATAAACACCAACAAATAGATTGATGTTTAATAAACTAAACGCAAATTCAGTTGAGTATTAGTAATGTGAAAGATAAACAACGATTTTTATGATTTTTTTGTGTAAAGTTTTGAATCATAATTGTATAAAACAATTTGATTAATTCCTAACCCCAACTGACGTATTATTATAAGTATTTCTTTTAAATGCTTTTTATTCTTTTTTAGTTCTTTCTTACTTAGCCGGACGTTGCGCATAGGGTAAATATCTACATGACAAAATAAAATAAAAAATTTAATTTGCTCTTAGTTTATATTTTATATACAAATATTACAAATCAAAGATCAACATGAATCAAGCTTAAAAGTCAAGTAAAGTCAAACCAATTTATTCTTTTGGTGGTGGAGCTGTCGCCAAATAAGCTAAACTTTTCTGAATGGCAGCGGGAATTTCTGGTGGTACCGGAAGATGTTCCCCAGTGGGTTGGAAACCATTCTCATCGGCAATATAAGTTACCGTGTAGGTCTTCCCATCATCACCTTGCCAAGAATATGATCCCTGCGAGATTCCCACAGTTTCCTTATCAATCTGTTTCAAATCACCAACTTGGGAAGCCTTAACACCATCACCAGTCTCGTAGTTATAACGATAGGATCCATCTGGTTCAATAATAGTCTCTTGGGCCACGATGGGAATGTCCTTTGGATCTGCTGGTGCTGCATACACAGCCACCAAACAACACAATAACGCTACACCAATATACATGTTTAATGATAATATTTTGTAGATGTTTAACGGTCGATGTTTAGGATCGTTAATGATTTCATTAGGACCGGGAGACGTTTATATAGTCGAAAATGTTTTGGCTTCCAGGCGACAACAATCGAATTTGTTGATTTAAGACATTGGAGTGCATTGAAGATGCAAAATATCATCGGCGTGGATTCAACGTGGTAAAAACATGATTTGTGTTGAAAAAATTTCTATAAATATCAATTACTTGCTTATTATTGATTTGCATACTTGCAACAAACTTGAATCAAGTGTGATTTGTTTTTGGTTGGCTGTTTTTGAAAAGGTTCTGATAGAATAGATAATTTGTAAGAGGCGAATGTGTACTTGACATTGCCTAGAAGAATATTTATTGAAAGTTCACACGCAAATGTTGCATTTTTACTCGTGTTACAAGAATCACTTCTGCGAAACATGAAATTTGAAGAAACATAAAAAATATTATTTATTATAGCATCAAAAGAATAGTTTTAAATGTTAAATATGAATATAAAATAAATTTTTCTATAAAAACTTTTTTTCGATTTTTCGAATAATAAATGTAATAAATAAATAAAAATTAATATAAAATCACTCCAAAGTTTCTTAAACAACAGATTTGATTACATAAAAGTGTATTTTATTAAATTTATTAGGTTTAAACAACAATTTTATAAAATTATTTATTAAGTAATAGATTTAATCATTAAATAATGTACATACGCCAAAAGTTTATAATTCTCATAATATCTAAGAACATAAGCTTCATTAAATAATAATCATTTGCATTAATCTCAACGTCGAAAGTGGTTTTACCTGATTTATAAATTTAAATTTTTCAATATAAAATTAGCTGCCACAAAAAGTTGCACAAAAGGAAATCAAAAAACAATATTCCCGATGCAACACACAACACAGACAGGATGTAGCAACACCAATCCAACCATTTCGATTTATAAAATACCCAATTAATTAATGCGTTTGTCGTTAATACCGGATACGAATAGTAATGACATTAATTTGAAATAAATTAATATCGATTGATTTTTAAACATTCAGTGCGCGGATATTAAGTAAAAAAACAAGTTTTTAATAAAATTGCAGATATATTTCTATTCACATTATCACTATTCAACAATATTTACATTTTCTCGTCAGTTTATGTACACAATAAAAATCTCTTCTTCTTCTTAAAATTAAGTCGTGGACCTGAGTCGTGTGCGTATATTATATCAATATCATTTTGGAAATAATGGATTATTTAGTGCTTTTGGTTTTCTGGTTCAGGATGAGCCTTGATCCATTCCAGGGCTTTAGCGATGGCGGCTGGTACCTGTGGGATGTGATCACCAACGGGTTGGTAGCCATTTTCATCAGCGGTGTAAGTCACTGAAATTGGGGTTCCATCAGCAGATGTGAACGAAAATTGACCAGAGGCGGCGATTCCAACTTCATTTCCAATTTGACGGGGTTCACCTTGTTGTTCGGCTTTGATACCATCTCCGGTTTCATAACTATATAAAAATTATTATCATATTATTAAGATGTTATAAGAAATATTAATATTTTTTACTTACGCGTAGTGATATTTGCCATCAGGTTCAATATTGCTCTCCGATCGTACAATCGGAACAGGTTCCTGTGGGAAAGCGTACGCGGCAGCGACGAGTGCCAAAAGAATAAGGTACTTCATGTTGATGCGATGTTGTTGGTTTATCGAAATGTCGAAAACTGATGATTGTACCGAGGTTGAAACCGCCTTTTATATAATTCTTTCGGCGACAATTCGAGTTTTTTACGGTTCTTAAATCATCCTCCAGCCACACCATCATCCGGTGATGCCATTGATGCATCAATTATAAAACAAGTATGTATGAAAAGTATGGAATTATAAAAGAGTCGGCGAATATTCAACGAGTCACTCGAGGCTAAAGTAAAACTCGAGTTAATGTAAAGTTAAGTGATTATCACGTCGGTTGAATCTCGCTTGTGCATATCATTAGAAATTTTTTGATTACAAAAAAATTAAACGCGATTAACCAAATGTAATAAACACCTTGAATGTAATCGAATATGTGTAAACAAAATAACAATTTATCATCGTGTTATTTGTGCGCTTCACACTTCGGAACACGAACGACTTCGACTTTTGCTTGTTTTGCTTGTTTTGGGTGCGTTTTGTACAGAAAATCACTTTTATCGTGATGTTAATGTTGACCTATACAATATTTAATCGGATAGGAAAGAATTTAAACGTTTATTCGTTATATTTTGCCAATAAACATCTCATAAGTTTAGTGGTTAAAATTTGAGGTTAAAATTTTGTTTTCGGACAACAGAAAATATGCAACACGCAGTACACTCATTTATGACCAATTTCGGTTGCATATTATTATGGAATAAAATGTGTCATTTCTTAATTTACTTAGGCACATAGCGCCTTCGACATTTATAGTATTAATTAGACGCATTTTATGACCAATGATTGAGCAAATACGAGTAGAAGATTGTCGAAGCGCCTAGATTTGAACGTACCGAACGAAAGCGAAATTTCGTCCAATTGCTCGTACTCCGCGTGCAATCGAACGTGAAACTTGTCTTCGAACACGGCCTTGACCAACAAATCCCATCAATTACTCATTAGACAATAAAATATGACACCGAATCATTAAACATTCAACTTTATTACATCAAAACAAATTTCACCGAAATTCAATCAAACACTTAAGATATCTTATGATGTAAAGATCGGAGATGAATTAAACATTTTATTTTATTTGAGTTATCGCAGTTGTTTTCTGCGGCGCTTGAAAATTAGAAAACAAAAGTGAAACGGTTAATGTTGTTGTATAAGACTTTGAACTGTTTTTGGAGTGCAATTACGTTACATCTAACGATATGTCAGAAATTGGCAAAGAGGCGACTCTGGTTGCATTTCTGCTACGCGTAATTGCAATTATGTCAAAACTAGTCGTCCAACAGCGGCGACAGAATAAATAAATAAGAAATTCTTCCAATTTGCCATCGGCGTGTGCCGTATCGTTGGTTTGGTGTGCTCTTATTTTACGCGTGTATTTGCTCGAGAAATTGGTTCTTCTTCTGGTTTTGTTATAGTTCTGGTTCGTAATGATGCGCCGCGCTTGTTAAAACTTTTTCAGCGCTGATTTCAACGTCGACTTGCGCCCGCGCTTGCGTAATATGGCCGGCGGCGTCGTCGGAGCCTTCGTCTTCTCGTCTTCTCTTCTTCGGCGCGCGAGGCATCGGTGAAAGTGTTCATCTTATTAAATAATAATAATGGTTTAGGCGTGTGAGGCACTGCACGCTGTTCGCTCAATGACTGTCTATCGATAGTTTCGAGAATTAGAGTTAATTGGAATCAAGATGTTTTATTTATCTACTAATCCAATAATCCACTGAAACAAATAAACCTATTAAAAGGAAACGCTCAATATCTGCTAAACAACAATAAAATAATTGTCTGTAAAGTTAAAACTTTGAAATATTAATTTAATTTCTTTCAAGTTTAAATTAATTTTTATAGTGTTCGTATTCCTTTTAAGTTTTAAGTTAGTTCATTTGCATTCGCATAGGTCAAAGGACATTATGTAACTGCTTCATCATCACCCACACTCTCAAGCAATATGCAAATTTTTGGAAATCTTTACGCAATGTTCACGGGAAGCTTGAAAACAAAACTTTTTTATATTAAACTTCTTAGAAGAAGAGGAAGACTTCTAAATGTAAATATATCTAAAAAAGTATCTATAGTTATCTTAAATATTATTAAAATCTAATGATAAAACAATGTTTTATTTCTGCCAAGTCATAAATAAGCTAAAAAAAATATTTATTTTACGATTTCATGCACTTTGTAGAATGACTGCTGTCATCTGTGTTGAATCTTCTAAAGTTCTTGTGATTATAATAATTAATTGACAAAAGATTCGACAGAGGGCGCTACCTACACGATATTAACACAATTTTCAATAATTTTAAAGGTTTATCCTTTATTCATTCTTCCTATTTTGCATATATTACATATATTAATTTATTAATTCAATACAGTATAAAAAATATGTTGTTCATTCATGTGGTATCAGCATTATTATTATCCTTGTTACGATTTTCAAGTCTACTTCATTTTCCGGTCCGTGTTTAATGTATTGTCAATTATTTCCGTTTTCCAGCGCGTTCTGTGGTAGATGGTTGAGAGGCGATCCAATCCAACGCCTTCTGAATGTTCGCAGGAATAGGCGGTGGCGTAGGAAGATGCGCTCCTTGCGCTTTAAACCCACCTTCATCATCAGCGGTGTAGGTAACCGAAATTTGATTACCATCAGGATCGGTATACGAATAAGATCCTTGCGCTACAATCACTGTGGGGTTTTCCGGATCGTTGCTAGGTTTCACCGAGCCAGTTTCTTGTGCTTTTATGCTGTTTGCACTCTCAAAACTAACGTAAAAACAATCAGTTTATGCGTAATTAGAAGAATTATACGTAAACAAACAATTATGCGGTTATTTAGCATAATTATTGTTACTGGTTTGCACGCGATGCATAAATAAATAGTAATATATCAAGATGTTATCTATTAGAGTTGTAAATCTGTTTTTATTTTTAATTTTAAATGAAATATGAAGAATTCAATTTGTTTATTGCTTCACTTACCTCCATTCATAAGCGCCATCCGGTTGCAGATCGTTTGTCTGACTGATGATCTTGATTGGCTCGGGCGTCTGTTGCGGCACCGGAACAGCATCCGAAAACGCCATCAATCCGATCACAAGTACACTTACCTACGAGTACAATCAAAAATTACAAGATATCCGTTCGGTGGTATGTCAACAACACTTAAAAAATCAATAATTACTTGAAATAAAATCATGATGATCACTATAATTTCTATTTCTAATATTGCAGGTACTTAGTTTTTCTACAATTATCGCAATGCAAGTTTGAATAGCAAAGGTATAGATTCGGACGCGTCGTCGTATTTATATTGACAATTATTGAGATCCCCCTCAGGAGCGGCCCGAACACGCATGCAAACCGAGTCCGTCGCTTATCCTCGCGCAAATCGCGCACATCGGATAATGCATATTGTGCGATTACAACATTGCGCGCACAATATATGACCGGCCGCAACGAAACAATGCACGGACTCCTCTCACAACAGCCAGGCTTGCGCACCGGTATTTTATGGGATGCGATTTAATTGTAGATTAAAGAGAACGAACCTTCGATTCCAACATCTACCACTGATGGCTCTTGCATTTCTTGCGAGATTATAAATGATGAAGCTGAAACCGCGGGAGATCAAGTCATTCAAATTTGTTTCAGTAATCATCAGACATCACGAAGGTAACATTCAAAGTGTAATAAATTTTCCACGAAAATGACAAAGAAAATTTTCTAGATATCACTTGTAGGTATTGTACGAGTAGTGAAACACCTTTTTGCAATTATAGGGATGAGTATAAGTGTGAGTATGTGCGGACATACCTTAGCATTGGCATTTAGCAAATCGGAATCGTGACTATCGGCAAACCAATAACTTATTAAATAAGTGACTGCGACCGCAGCGACCGTGTGCGCGTGTAACGTGTGTGGATTGCACATTCAGTAACAACACAAATAGAAAATGCAAAAATTACGTGCATACCACGCAGATTGAGACGTTTTTTGACGTTGCCAGGTTTCTAGACAGAAAATTAAAATGAAAATTAAAATGGCAACGTAGACAATATTCATATAAAGAATAAAGATGTTAGGTTAAATGAATAAATTAAATTAAAACTTTTATGCAAAATTATTGAATTATACGATTGAGTAAGATATTATCTCAAATGTCTAGCATCTTGCTACTGAAGCAATGCATCAATAAATAATTGACTACTTGAGTTAAGTGCTAATTGCAAATTCACTCGCTTTTGTATTTGTCGATTATAAAATCTAGATCTACAAGGATATTTCTTATTTCTCATATATTTTCCACTAATCTTAATATTCATATTAAGACTTATTCATATTAAGATTCATATATTATACTCGCACATTTCCGTCGTATTCAATTGTATTTTTTTTATTTCTATGAGTTGTTCTCAATGAAGCAACATGGAATTTCATAAATTCAACGGTGATTTATTGCCGCCTGTGCGTTGCAAACACACGTTTGTTTTTCGCATCCTACGCATACAGTTTAAGCATTTTTCTTAGACACATCTCAAGCGGTACATCTCAAGAAAACTATCAACCATTACCAATCGTCATTATGGCTAAAACTGTTGAAATACACTTCTAGAAACTTCATTAATAATTGATTTCACACATTGCATTGTTCGGCAATGAACAAACAGTAGTATTATATAGTTGAATCAACTTTACATGATTTACGACAATAAAATATAAGTAAAAATTATTTTTAGATTTTAATAAATTGTCCTTCACATTTATAAAGATTAAGCGAATCTTATTAAGTTTTTTTTACTATCAATGATGCTAAAAATGTAAAAAATGTTTTAAGTTTGTTAATAGTTGTGTTAACACTTTAAAGAAGATCAAGGTTTAGTAGTCGTATCACACTAGTTATTTTTATTGATTGAATTATTAAATTAAGTCCAATGCAAAACATCTTATATGATATGCGTAGGTATATTTTGATATTTCATGAAACCTTCTTTCCACAACGCGCATGACACAAAAAGATGTTCTTGAATTATAAATGTCACTTGATCCCGTGCAATCTCTCAACTGTCGCCATGATGCAATCGATGCGTCTCTGAATAATTATTTAACTTTTACAAATTAATTTTCAACCTTATTTAACTACGTCAATACAAATTCATATTCTATTTTCTTTATTTACAGAAATATTACATTTTATGGCAGTGTATTTTTGTATTTTTTCATATTTTTGTCTCTTTAAATGACATTATGTCATTATTAATGTATTTTTTGTTTTTGGGTAGTTTTTAAGTAAATTTAGAAGCGTTTGTTGGGTTCTTGAGGTTGTGGGTGGGCAGCAATCCAGTCGAGAGCCTTCTGGATGGCAGCTGGGATTGGTGGTGGAGTTGGCAGATTACCCTGTGGTTGATAACCGTTCTCGTCAGCAACGTACGAGATCTGAACGGTTTCACCTTCGGGGGAGGTCCAGGAGAAGGAACCCTGAGCATTCTTTGCTACTTCCTCTGGGCCCAATTGACGGATCTGCGCAGCTTCTTGAGCTTGGATTCCATTATCGGTTTCGTATCTACAAACGACAAAAATAATTAAAAAAAAAAATTATTTTTAATTGTAATTTACTTACGCCCAGTTATAACTGCCGTCGGGTTGGATATCACTCTCTGAACGAAGAATATTAGCAGAAGCTTCCTGTCCAGGTGCAACATTTGATTTGCGCACCAAATGGGACACATCGGCGGCCACCACCGCGATAAGGGCACATGACAACACCTACAAATATCCAAAGTTAATTATTATTATTATTTCACTGATTGCCTAGTCGTTTTAGCATAATACTCACAAATTTGAACATTTTCGGATATATTTGCACTAGTTCGTAAAATGGAACTGATGATGATCGTCACATCGCATCAACTATTTATACTCAGAAATTAAAGCAGCGGTGCCTCCCCACGTGCGGAATCACGCACACGCACATGCGAATTTCACACTCCACAATCGACACACATTCGTGGCACGTACACACACGCATGCCCGAAATTTCGTGTATTGTTGCGATGAGGACGAGATCAGGCAAAGATGGACAATACTTGTATATCATCAGCGACTTCTACACCTGACGGTGGGTATATTTTAATCGCTTAATGTATGGATGTGTTATAACAGAGAGATATTACAGTTTTTTACGAAACAGACGCCCAGAGGCAAGGCCGCGCAAAAGATACAGAATGAATGATTTTTGGGTTTTTGTTACATGGAATCAAAAGTTCAAAATGCAAGAATTAATTTTTTGGCTTTTAATAGCCTAGAATATGAAATTAAATACGAACTTGCATTTGCTTAATCAACATGCTTTTGGCAATACGTGAAATAGAATTTTGTTTCAGAATTAACCTCATCAAACTCAAATCAACAAATACTCATAAAATTAAATATAATTGCAATTGAAGTTTGTTGTTTGTTGTACCATCTTGTATTTAGTTAATAATGACATTAACCCACAAAAGAAATGCCGCAATATTTAGATTATTGCAAAATCAATTTTTGAATTGCATGTATGATTACACTAATTTAGCTAAATTTAAAAAAAAATCATTTTAATCTTCAAATTTATTATTATTTAATATGTATTTAATTTTTTTCCGTTTAAATACCAATATTACCATTATTTAACGTCGAATAAAATAATAGATCACACATTAAATGTCACCAGACTACTTAGTCGCATCATCTTTTTTCTAGTGAGATTCGCTGAGTTCTTCTCTTGCTAATCTGCAATTTCAAGGTTGTTGGCGAAGGTTTAACGCTAATGTAAATGACAACTTTAAATAAATGTTTAAAGCATCCGGACCTTCAAAACGCAAAATTTATGTAACATTTAAATCGATTTCAAACTAGTTTTCAGAAATATTTTATTGCCTCGTTCAGACACGTCTTGTTCACGTGTGAGGCGTCAATTGATGATGTTCTATAATCTGCATATTATAAATATATTGCTAACTAATACTGTCTGGAATTGCCCAGTGTTTGTTTTTTCCTAATGATTTCACCGAAGAGTAAAAAAAGTGAAAAAAGTGTTTAGTATTGTCAAGGTTAGTAATCTTTTACTTTTGCGAATTGGAGGATGTCATAATTTGCATATGTATGAAGCAATTTTACTAGAAAGCGAATCTTTACTTCTATTGAATAAAAGTGTTGAAACTGGAAATGGAAAATGAAGGTTGCAATATGCAACATATGCATCCATACTGTTATGTGACAGTATATTGAGTTGCATAGCATACGATCATAAATACATATATGGCAATTAATAAAAATAATTTTGATCGTATATTTGAAAAAATATTTACAATTATTCAATTGTCATTTAGAATTTCTTGCCATCTTGAGGTTCAGGATGGGCAGCAATCCAATCGAGCGCTTTTTGAATGGCGGCTGGAATTGGTGGCGGCGTTGGTGCAACTGGTAAATGTGCAGCATCAGGTTGGAAGCCATTTTCATTAGCCACGTAGTTTACAGAGTACTTGGTGCCATCAGGGGCAGTAAAAGAAAAGGAACCAGTTACTTCCTCAGCTTCTGTATCTTTGTTGCCAGCATTCTTCAGCTGGCCTTGCTCTTGTACTGCAATACCATGCGCAGTTTCAAAAGAATGGTGGTAAGAGCCATCAAAGTTTACTTCGGCATCTTGCTTAACAATGGCGATGGGTTCTTCCGCAGCATAGCTCACGGCCACAAACAAGGCAACAAAAATTAACTGCAATTCAATATTAAATTAAAGTAAATAAAATTATTTGTAATAATTGAAAATAAATAGTTTATGTTTAGTTACTCACTGATTTCATCTTTATTGATTACTGGAAGTTGATTGCAGGATTGCGATTACAGTACTGTTGCATTTTAGCGCATCTTTGCTTTTATAGGTGTAAATAATGTGCAAGTAGCATTCACATAGCCAGTTTTTATTCGCAATTTGTTAGTTTTGACAATTTGTGTTTGATTGTCCTCAAGGTTACAATTTAATATAAACTTTTAGCATTTAGATTTATTTATTTACATCCTTTCTTTTTCTAATAAATTTAAATATATATGATGTTTCTTTACGTCAGCGTTAAATATATGATAAAATCAGAAACAGATTTTAAAATAACTTTAGAATCATAACCTATCCTAACCTACAAAGGGTACAGTTTATAGTAAAAACATATTTCTGTATGTTTAAAATAATCTATCTTAATAATAAAATGTAGTAAAGTTTAATAACGTGTATTGCATGTAATTAATTATATGTTTAATCATTAATTACCTAGTACTGGGTTTATTCTTGAATTAATGATTAAATAAACGCAAATAAAGTGGATAAAATTAAACTTTTCGCATTCTACTGTGGATTATTTACATTTTGAGTTTTTTTTTTTTTTTTCGATTTCTGTTAAATTTTAAATATTCACGAACTCCTCAATTCCTAAAATACACATTTTTAAAATAATTAAATAAATTTAAATATATTTTTTTAATTTGCCATTTATTCATTTTAAAAGAATGTGAAGAATCTACAAAAATACAATTGAAAAATAATTGTTAATTCAATTAAAAAATAAAAATCTGCAATACCCTGCCCTGAAAGCAATTTTTAAAGAACATAATTCAATAATAAAATAAAATTTACACCAGAAATTGTTTGCATTAATTTATTAAGTATTTTCTGCACATATATTTCAATCACATAATGGCACAACATTAATTCTTGCAGACAGACTCAAGAAATAACATTACTAGTAGCTTCCGTTGTTTTCCTAATCATATCACAGTCCAATAAAAAGATTAGCGCTTAGAACTTCTTGCTTCCTTCCTGTGGCTGTGGATGAGCGGCAATCCAGTCAAGAGCACGAGCAATAGCGGCCGGAATTGGTGGTGGAGTGGGTGCAACCGGAAGATGAGCACCTTGCGGCTGGAATCCGTTCTCATTGGCGACATACGAAATAGAAATTGGTGTACCATCAGGGGCAGTGTACTTGAACGCACCCTGCACTTCTTCAGCTTCAGCGTCCTTCTGGCCAGCATTTTTCAACACTCCTTGTTCTTGCGCAGAAATACCATTGCCAGCTTCAAAGTTATGTTGATAACTACCATCGAAATTCACCTCAGCATTTTGAGATAGAATTGGTACGGGTTCATTTGGACCAGCGGCCAAGGCAACAGCGCAGAGAGCAGATAAAACAATCTAAAAACAAAATAATTCGTTAGGCATTAATAGAATTTTATTTGAAACTTTTTACTTACGATGAATTTCATGTTGAATGATCGAAAGACAAGTTCGATGTGATTTGAATTTCGCCCATGCGAGCTATTTATTTTCGAGCAGCCCTACCCAAAAATTGAGAAATGAAGAACATTGTTCATTGGTTGTACTAATACCGAATGTACATTAGAAATTCATAGATTCAAAAGAATAATCTTAAAAAATAAATAATTTTAGGCGCAAATAAAGCTTCTTCTTGTCAATTAACAAGGACGACTGGAATCAGACATAAATTTGTCAACAGCGTCAATGACAACATGTAATTTACACAGATGAATTAATAATAATTAATTAAATATATTACAATATAAGTAATTGACATTGTTTTCAGTTTTTACACATTCAATATTTATTGTATTTTTTTATTCGTTTCTGTATTAGATTGGAAACGAAGAGATTGCTTCGTGTGTTGCTGACATTTAAGAGCAACGTCTTCAACGACGATCCGAACAAGAGAATGTTGAATGTTTTAAATGCGCGAATGTATAAACAGCGTTTTTGTTTCGTTTCTTTTGCGCTGAATGTAGGCGAGGTTCCTAGATCTGGTCTTACAGGTCAAGATTCACTATAATAAACATTTTTTATGTAATTGCATTGAATCAGAGAGAGAAATTAAGATGTTGCAGGCTTAAAATACCAAAAATGTTTATTATTTCATTATAAATTGGTGTAAAATACAATTTTTTGCTTTTGGCAATTCGTAACTTAATTTAACCAAAGGTGAAAGGATTCCTTTCGGGTTCAATGCTAGTATAAAAGAATGATTCGCATTAACAGCTCACTTACTTCATCGGTAGAATCAAAACTGGGAACACATTCGATTTATTTCCAAATCACATTGCAAAACAACATATTAAGACGATAATTTGACTTGCAAATCAATTAAATTTATTTTGTGTTTTCCAGTGAATTGATAATAATTTAGACTTTGCATTTTTACCTATGGATACTTGCAATTATTTATTATACAGATTATAAACGTGTAAGTATTTTGTGGTAGGCATTGACTTATTGAACGATCGAAATTCTGTATTCCGTACCTCAAACATTGCACAAGCCGCCGTTTTCGTTCTTTTGCTGGCATTTTGCAAATTGCGAATGTTGCGAGCGACAACATTCGATTGTAAAGTGGTTACGCGAAAACATATCTTCATCTTTATCGTGTGTATGAAAATGCTGGGAAAATAATGACTGGATATAAAATCAGCTGATTGCAGTGATTGCCCCAGCTGGTATAAAAATAGTAATTGAACTCGACACAACTACGAACTACGTCTGCTTGAAGTAATAATGCGTTACGTGTTAAATGATAAGCATTCAAATTGCAAATTGAATTGAATTTAATACAAAACAGAGTAATATTCATGTTAATAGCTTTTGCTGTAAATTAAACTGAAGAATTTGCTGAAAAAAATAAATTTAATTGTTTATAACAATGTTTATGTCATAATTGAATGTTTAACCTTCAATTTAAATCGTTTACCCGATGTGAAGATCTGAAGATCACAGTGGAGTATAGTTGTGTCTACCTGAAGTTACATTAAGTCATTCCTAAGGAATTTGTTTCCATTTGTTTGTTGCACCTGTTGGCGACTTGGCGCATCATTGTTCTTGTATTTCTTTGTGCAATTGTGATTGCGCATGCACATACGTCGACTATGCTCAAAGTGCAGCTCATGCGAAAAGAAACAATTTAGCTGATATTTAGAGTCGTGCCGCTGAATGATTATTAAACATAAAATAACTGTTATTTATCGATTGTTCTTAAGCGGTCTTATCGCCGCTAAGGCGGACGCAGACACACGCAAAACGTGCTCAACTTAATTTAGCTTTGTTTAAGTTAACTTCACTTGCTCGTAACACCACTCTAGCACAATACATATTAAAATAAAATATATTTGCAATTAAATACATTGAAAGTTTTAACATTTTTATGTTGTGAGTCAAGTAGGTATTATGTGACACTGTCTGTAAAAATCATCTTCTCATATTTGTAGAAAATCACTTGATTTTCATAGCATCACAGCGATTTAAATGTAAAGTCTCTCATAGGTCAATCTTCGAACCACGTTTGAAAGAAAGCGCGATTAACATTTAACCCGTCATAAATTTACTTTATTCGAATGTTAATTAGTAACTCGTTTTAGATTTTTGCATTTCAATCAGAAAATCCATATTGAAATGTGTCTCTTAAACACTTACGTTTACGCAATTCCATTAAATTTTTAGTGATTTTCAACCACTGGATATAAAAGTGAGGTTAGAATATATACGTCTAACCAAATTTTTACTTCTTGTAATTAAATTGTAAATAATTTGATATCGCATAGATCAAATGCGTAAAAGGTTAATTTTAGACATTTTCAACGTAAAATCCGACGACAAATATTTGAAAAATGTGCAATAAAACGTAAAAGTGACAAATTTGTTGCGCTAGGAGACATAAAATTAACTACCACACAAATGCGACATATGTTAAAACTCTTCGCGAAAGTTTGACACAGTACAACTAACGAATAGATGAAATTCAAACCGACACGCATCGCATTCTGTATTTATACACACTATGTTGACTAGACAATATTTTATACTTATTTATACCTATGAAAAATATGAATTATGATTTATAATAAATTTCTTGTTCCAAATCGTATTTGTTAGAAAGTATATATAGTAGAAGATTATATAATTGCAGAAATATAATTATTCATTGAAAAATCTTATTGTATGCGTCATAATTAATCTATTTTAAAATAAAATATCGATATATTTAATTATTGATGCACTTTTTTGTGTATACTTGTCATCAGTCTGCATAAAAATCAGTTGGTGGTCTTTTTAAAGGTTAAGTATTCTAAATGGCAAATTTTAATATGTTTACAGCTTAAATCGGATTATAAATGAATAACAACATGGCCGACAATTAATTGTAATATTTTTTAGGGTATTCAATAATTTTTCTTGAAAATGTGTGTTATTTTTCAAATTTATGTTTGAGATATGTAATTATTTAATTAGGTTTATAGTTGTTGGCATTAAAGTACGTTTAATAGTGCATTTTCCGTTTTCGATCTGACTGCACGATGCATGCATATCTAACCGATGATGATTTGCTTGGGAAGACGAAATTCTGAGGTAGGGTTTGTTGCTGCTGCTGCAACATATAAATATCTGCGTTCCCCACTGGTGCATCATCAGTCTTTGCAGTGACTTGAACAATTAACAAACATCAAACATGAATACTTTGGTGAGTACTAATTTAATTATATAATTATATAATTATAAGGATATTAATTTAATTAATATATTTTAGATTGTATTCGTTGCCGTTTTCGGCTGTGCTCTCGCCCAATTCCGTCCTCAAGCTTCGGGAGGCGGTGGACCAGCACCTAATGCCGCCATCTTACGTCAAGATTCAGATATTAACCCTGATGGATCTTACCAATGGAGGTAAAATTATATATTTTTATAAATAGTGATAAAAGTAATAATAATCGTAATTTTTAATAATTTGCAGTTATGAAACTGATAATGGAATCTCAGCCCAAGAAAATGGCAGCCCTAAAGTGCAAGGTCCTGAAGGTCCAGCTGTAGCCGCGCAAGGATCATTCCAATACACCGCTCCTGATGGTACACCCATCAGCATTCAATACACTGCTGATGAGAATGGTTTCGTCCCACAAGGCGCTCATTTACCAGTGGCTCCCGAAATTCCACCAGCGATTGCCCGTGCCCTTGAATGGATTGCCGCCCACCCAGACCCTGAAGCAGGTCGTGCTGCCCCAGCTGGTGGTAGACGATTCTAAGTCATCCCTTCAATTCTAATCTTCACTGGGTGAGACTTGATGAGACGATCCCTCGAGATATGTGTGATGCCAGAATGACGAATATTCAATCACTTGGAATACTCTTTGAAACACTTCCACCTTGAAATCGAAAATTAACGCGCTGCTAATTATTATTTCCGCCATTTTATAGAAAAAACATTGCAAGGTAATTGCAAGTAAGCATTGTAAATATTTTTTAAATGTCATTGTTTTATTATTTTAATTCCTCTTTCTTATTAATAAAAAGTGATATCAAAGTATGTGTGTGGTTTGATTAGGTCAAGGATGAATTATTGTCGTGTTTTGATTGGTGTAGTAAATTATCTAAATTAATTATGTGGATGCACCGGAATTGTGAAATATTTAAATGTTATATTCACAGCGAGAAGTTCATGTGGGTGTGCCTTTGCTATTCGCAATATTCGTATTATTTATTTACGTCAAGAGCGTGCATCACGAGAGCGTCGGAGTTAATCGTTTGCGCATTGGCGTAAAATGTTAGTTGGATGTATCAAGTATATTAAGTCTGCGGTCATGTCTCGAATGACTTTTTCGCGCAGGTGTTACGTAAGCGTAATTAGTTTAGCACGATGCGCAGATATAAATATAGGTACTGTTTTGATAAATATCCTGGTGTTTAATAATATATTACGGACTATGAACGAAACATTGTATTTAATTCATAAAATTGAAGCAAAAAACATCAATAATTACTATTTTACGCGTATATTATCATCAAATTCATTCTGTGATCAATTTGTATGACTAATACATTTAATTTTAAAAGTCTAGTGAAATACTATACAATTTTTATGGATATTAATATCTATATTCATATTAATGCTTTTTAATTATTTTTTTGATAAGTTTGCAAATTTTTAGATTGGTGTTATCTTTAATTGGCAAATGTGCAATGTTGTTACTTAACAGTCTCAGCGAGAGACTGCGGGAGATAATGTTTGTGCTTCCCACTTTACTGCTCGAATGATAAAGCACGTAATTTACATTCTGAATTGTACTTTTTCTGTTGGTGCTATTATTTGATTTCAGTAATAAAGTATATTGCTCTAAATTAGTATAAATATTCAACAACCTTCTGTCACAGCATCAGTTCCAATTTTGCTCTATTAACGAGTACAACTACCAATAATACATACTATATTATTAAAATATCATTATGTATACTACTAATTTGATTATTCTTGCAATTGCAACAATTGCCATTGTGCAAATCAGTGGCATTCCTGTTGTTGAAGACATCAATGGCAACGCATACTATTTGGTACCACTAGATGGACTTGAAAGTCATCATAGACAAGTCAGGTAATTGAATGACTTTATGATGTTTTTCTCAATAATTTAAATATATTATGAAATTATTTCAAAATTTACTAATAATGTGATTTATTAGATCTGCGAATCCTCAACGTGAAACCACATATGATATTGGCAACCAGCACGCTGGTCTTGGCCAAAAATTCACTTTTGTAGACAACGATAATCACAAATTCTCTGCGCATGCATATGGTGGACGTGATTTTGGTCCCAAAGGACCTTTGACTACTGGACAAGGGGCTGAATATCTTCATAAACCATCAGGCAGCAACTTCCAAGTGAACGCTGAGAATACTCGCGGTGCTGGAACTGACTTCAAGGCTTCCGGTACTTACAACTTCTTCCAGACTCAGGACAAGCGTGGTCGTGTGGGTGTTGGCGGCGAGTACGAACGCCATTACAGAGGACCAGGTGGCACTTCTAATCCTAGATATAATGTTCTGCTTAAAGGCAGTTATGATTTTTAAACATGCTCTTGAAAAGGTGTTTGTCGAAGCTTTAATATTTATAATACTAATGTGTAAAACTTAAATTAATGAAATTAATTATAAATAAAGAACATTTGACAATAAATTTATGTGAATGTATATGATAATCCAATTTATTCTAATCAAAGTAGTCCTTTCCCATGTGGTTATTAAATATTCAATGTTTTGGGAAGCTTTAATCTAAATATAGATAAAAGAAAGTCGTGTTAGTTACCTTGCTTACAACTAAAGAACGGCTAATCCAATTTTGCTAAAAATTGGTGGGGAGGTAGCTTAGGGCCAGGAGAAGGTAATGGGATAGTTTTTGAAGTGAAAACTTTTCTAAAAAGGCACTAAACGACACTGAAAAGAGACAAACATATTTGCGTATATGGATTATCTTGCGGGAGCATAAGAGTACGCAAATACAAAGTTTCCTATTATCCCCGTCTCCTCTTTGTGCGATGCTTCGTAGCTTCCCCCCTAAGCATAGACGTGTGTATGTGTGTACGTGTGGGTTGAAGTTGACCGGTTGATGTTTTTGTTTGGAGAAGGTTACTAGGATACTTTTTGAAGTGAAAACTTCTTTAGAGAACACTAAACGACACTAAAAGGAAACAAACATATTCGCTTATATGGTTTAGCCTACGGGAGAAAAAGAGCACACAAATATAATGTTTTCTATTATCCCCCTCTCCTCTTTGTGTGATTCGTAGCTTCCCCCTAAGCATAGACGTGCGTGGGTTTGTACGAGTTGGTTGAAGTTGCCCGGTTGATGTGTTTGTTTGAATAAGACTTAGTAGGTGTAGGATACTTTTTTTTAATACTTTTTGAAGTGAAAACTTCCTTCGAGTTTTTTCCGTCTCTTCATTGTGCGATGCTTCGTAGCTTTCCCACTCAACATGCAGCGACCAAAGCGATCAAATCTTATCCGACAAAACAGTAATGCAACTAGGATTCAAAGGATTGCGAATGAAAGGACTGAAGAGGAACAAAAAATTGCACGTGAAAAGCGCCGTGTTAGTATGACTGGACTTCGTGCTTCTCAATCACAAGAGCAAAGCGAAGCGGAACAAAGTTTGCCGGGTCAGCTAGTTTATTATAGATTGCAGTGATACATAACTTATACCTTGTTAATTTAGATATATTGTTTATGTAGTTGGTTATTATGTCAGAAGATAATATAAATTTCAAATACAACTATGCGTATAATTTTATTCAGCATCCTATTATTACTAATTGATTGTAATGAGAAATACTTTTAATTCTTAAGTCTTCTTACTTTTTCATCCAGTCGTTTTTTTCCACGAGGCGACCTGTGCACGTAATCGATACACCAAAACCTTAGCAGATCCAATATTACTAAGATAACCAAGAATAATTATCGAATAATACAAAATTTAATTTGATTGCTAAGTACGAATATCGTTTTAAGAAAAATCAACAGTGAACCTATTGAAAAATGTAATTGTTTGTGGAAAAATAGCGCTCGGTCAAGGATTCAGAAACCCCTTCCGAAAAGTTAAAGACGGTTTTGTTTCCGCGTATTCTTAACTACATTTACCAAACAGATAATTAAGTAGCTAATAACTATCGTTCTATAACTCGTAGTCCTGCTAATTTATAAAGAAATAATTTAAAAATGCAATGCTCTAGCAATTACAGTAAAGCTCCTAAAATAATTTGAACTGCTATTAATGATAATTATATTCAAGAAAAATACTCATTTGATAATGCAAAATATGTGCTAATAAATTTACATACGTAAACAAATATGTACCAGTTTATATCCGAAACCTTCACTTTATCACGAGCGAGAATTTACTCTGCGAACGTGAAGCTGTTGTAGTATGTACTTCCCAGTTTACTCTCGCGTTCATCGTAAAACTTTACTAGGCGTGATTCACAATCATTATAATTTCACTTTTTGCAAATAAACGATATGAATTTGAATTGGTATAAATATTAGCGCAGTTACTGTTTCAGCATCAGTACTAAACGAACTGAAGTTCTATCAACTAGTTCAACTGCAAACTACCAGTTATAAAAACATTAATAAATATGTCTTATCTAAATGTGATTGTACTTGCATTGGCAACTATTGCCATTGCTCAAATAAACGCTATTCCAGTTTACCAAGATACTAATGGCAACGAGTATTATCTAGTACCAGTAGCTGCTGTTCAATCTCAAGACCACCATAGACATGTCAGGTAATAATAATTATTATTTATATTTTTGTATTAAAACAAATTAGAAGTAATATTTTATTTATTTTATATTTTTTTATTTATTTTATTTTATTTATGATATAATTTATTAGATCTGCTAATCCCCAACGTGAAACCACCTATGATATTGGCAACAAACATGTTGGACTTGGTCAAAAATACACCTTTGTCGACAACGATAAACACCAATTCTCTGCGAATGCATATGGTGGACGTGATTTCGCTCCCAAGGGGCCTCTGACCACTGGACAAGGTGCTGAATATCTTCACAAACCATCAGGCAGCAACTTCCAAGTGAACGCCGAGAATACTCGCGGTGCTGGTACAGACTTCAAAGCTTCTGGAACCTATAACTTCTTCCAAACCCAAGACAAACGAGGTCGTGTGGGGGTTGCCGGAGAATACGAGCGCCATTACGGAGGTCGTGGTGGCACTACTGATCCTAAATACAATGTTCTTCTTAAAGGCAGCTATGATTTCTAAGCCTTAAAGCTTTAATATTTATTTTATATACAATTTATTGATAATAAAACTAAGAAACTGAAAAAAGCACTACGTGATATAACTCATAACACCTCAATTTTTTTCAAATGTTTATCAAAGAAGAATAGAAACCATTTCAGCATTATGTATTTCTCCCAAGGCAGTCAAATTCTAGAAAAGGATAATGCATCAGATTACACATGTAATCTACCCATCGTTATCTAAAATGCCCCAAACTGGACGTTAATATAACTCACAATATAGATTCAGATGCGGTGTGATGATAACAAAATATCTCTGCTTTTTTAAATATAGTAATTTGAGAAACGTTGCTTGAAAAATTATTAACATGAGACGCCAGTGAGGCGAGTTGCAAGAGCAATCAAAATGAAGTGGGGCAACCTGCGTCTGGACTACTGGACGACTCAGGCACGTGTAAGCACTGTGATCACTGCGCGGTGCTCTTTTATACCTGCGGCTATCCCGCTAAAACTGGTGGGGGAAGATGCGCCTGTAAGGGAACTTGTTGGAGTGTACGGGGCGAGTAGTGGTAAGGAATGGAGTAATTTGAGTCACAGAGTGCACTCTTGGTCTTGCCGACGCGCCTACTCCCACCACTTTCAACGGGTCGGACGCAGGTATAAAAAGAGAGCGCTCAGTCGAGTCTGAGTCGTCCAGCAGTTCAGTCGCAGGTCCGTAAGTTCTTCTCCCCGCTCTCTTTAACGAAGCTGACAAGTGTTACTTCAACCTAATAAAATTACTGAAACTTTTACAAGTAAATTTTTATATCAATTAAATTAAACATTAAAACATACGTATTCTCAATATTCTTTTATTTTTTATTTCATTTTAAGATTTATGCATTAGTATAATAAATATTAAAGCTTTAGGAAACATTTTTGATAGAGCCTATTTAAAAATCATAGCTTCCTTTAAGAAGAACATTGTATTTAGGATCAGTGGTACCACCTCGTCCTCCGTAATGACGCTCGTACTCGCCGGCAACACCAACACGACCGCGTTTGTCCTGGGTCTGGAAGAAGTTGTAAGTGCCGGAAGCTTTGAGGTCGGTACCAGCACCGCGTGTATTCTCAGCGTTTACTTGAAAGTTGCTGCCTGATGGTTTATGGAGATATTCAGCACCTTGTCCAGTAGTCAGAGGACCTTTGGGTCCAAAATCACGTCCGCCATATGCATTCGCAGAGAATTGGTGTTTATCGTTGTCGACAAATGTGTATTTTTGACCAAGTCCAACGTGCTGGTTGCCAATGTCATAAGTGGTTTCACGTTGAGGATTTGCCGATCTATAAAATGTAATAATGCATTTAATTAGTTTGAATGTTAAAATATAAAGAATTAGTATTACCTGACATGTCTATGGTTTTCCTGAGGTTGCACAGCACCTACCGGTACTAAATAATATTGGTTACCATTGGAATCTTCGTAAACTGGAATAGCGTTTATCTGAGCAATGGCAATAGTGGCCAGGGCAAGCACAATCGCGTTTAAGCAAGGCATTTTTGCTTATGTCTTTATAAGTTGTAGTTTGCAGTGAAACTAGTTGATTAAACTTCAGTTCGTATGGTACTGATGCTGAAACAGAGACTGTTTGAATATTTATATACAAATTCAAATTCATATTGCTAAGCAAAAAGTATAATTAAGATTATTGTAAATCACGCCTGGTAAAGTTTTACGATAAACGAGAGCATAAACTGGGAAGCACATTTTACTACATAGGTTTTTGCAACGTCAATGAAAACATTCGTGATAAAAACCTTGCAACGGATTTCAACTGTATCAATTTTGTTTGCGGCTGCAAATTTGATCACTGCATATTTTGTCTTATGAATATACGTCATCATATCTATTTTTAACACAGACATTTCAGAAATTAATTATTAATAGATTTATTTTGGTTTTATTTAATCAGCATTGCATGTACATTGGATTATTACAAAATATAAATAATGAAAATATCTGAAAGGAATATTCAGCAGATGAATAATAAATCTGATGGAGCAACGCAATCAAGAAGAAACAAATTATTTGCATAAAAATGCAGTAATTGGACTACAAGCAAAAATGCACATAAAAAATGAATGCCCATATGTTTACAGCAAAAAAATTAAATTCAAATTGCAAAATATAATTATATACAATTTTTTTATTTAAAACATGTACCCACCAATATTCTAATATCTAAACAGAATTATAGTTAATTTTTTAAACATTTTATTTGTGCTTGTAATCCGAAATAATTTATAATACTGCAAAGGAAGTAATAATGCATCTCCTTACTAGTAAAATAAAACAATTACTTTATATTGTAACTTGATAACTAGAGTTGTACTAGCAATTAAATTTAATAGGGAATATATCTATACTTATATAACATTTATAATTAAACATTTATAATATTTATGTTTATAAAATTTTCTTTATTTCTTATATATCTTTTAAGATTTACAAATTAGTATAATAAATATTAAAGCTTCAAGAAACACATTTGATTGAGTCTATTTAAAAATCGTAGCTGCCCTTAAGAAGAACATTGTATTTAGGATCAGTGGTGCCACCTCGTCCTCCATAATGGCGTTCGTACTCGCCGGCAACACCCACGCGACCACGTTTGTCCTGAGTCTGGAAGAAGTTGTAAGTTCCGGTAGCCTTGAAGTCGGTACCAGCACCGCGAGTATTCTCGGCGTTCACTTGGAAGTTGCTGCCTGATGGTTTGTGAAGATATTCAGCACCTTGTCCAGTGGTCAGAGGCCCCTTGGGAGCGAAATCACGTCCACCATATGCATTCGCAGAGAATTGGTGTTTATCGTTGTCGACAAAGGTGTATTTTTGACCAAGTCCAACATGTTTGTTGCCAATATCATAGGTCGTTTCACGTTGAGGATTTGCAGATCTAATAAATTATATCATAAATAATATAATTCTTCTAATTTGTATTAATAGAGAAACATAAGTAAATAATAATTATTATTACCTAACATGTCTGTGGCTTTCTTGAGATTGAACAGCCGCTACTGGTACTAGATAATACTCGTTGCCATTAGAATCTTGGTAAACTGGAATAGCGTTTATCTGAGCAATGGCAATAGTGGCCAGGGCAAGCACAATCGCATTTAAACAAGACATGGTTATTAATGTTTTTATATCTCTTAATTTAGGTACTGTTGAACTAGTAGATTGAACTTCAGTTCGTTTGGTACTGATGATGAAGCAGAAACTGCGCTGATATTTATATCAATTCAAATTCATATTGCTTATTTGCAAAAAGTATAATCATGATGGTTGTAAATCACGACTGGTAAAATTTTACGATGAACGAGAGTGTAAACTGGGAAGCACACAGCACTAAGTACATTGGATCACGTTTGCGTCGTCAATGAAAACATTCGTGATAAAAACCTTACTACGGATATCAGCTGTATCAATTTTGTTTTCGAATGCAAATTTGATCTTTGCATATTTTGTCTTATCAATATATTTATGTATATATCTATTTTTAATTCATACAATTCTGTAATTAATTACCAATAAATTTATTTTGGTTTTATTTTATCAACATTGCATGTCCATTTGATTTAACAAAACATAAATAATGAAAATATTTGGGAGTAATCGAGTGTTATCAGCATATAAATAATTAATCAGATTGAGGAATGCAATCAAGAAGACACAAATTATTTGTATCAAACACAAAACTGTAAACGGTTTAGAAACCAAAATGCACAAAATCAGATCGCAGAACATTTTTCTTAATTAATTTGGATTTATTCATAACAGATGAATGCCCATATAATTACAGTAAATAAAAAGGTAACACAAATTGCAAAATATAATTATATATAATGTTTTTTTTTAAATATTTATTTAAAATAATAAAAAATTAACTTTATATAATTAACTAGCTGACCCGGCAAACTTTGTTCCGCCTCGCTATGCTCTTGTGATTGAGAAGCACAAAGTCGAGTCATACTAACACGGCGCTTTTCACGTGCAATTTTTTGTTCTTCTTCAGTCCTTTCATTCGCAATCCTTTGAATCCTAGTTGCATTACGGTTTTGTCGGATAAGATTTGATCGTTTTGGTCGCTGCATGTTGAGTGAGGAAGCTACGAAGCATCGCACGAAGAAGAGACGGAGAAAACTCGTTTAGTATCATCCAAGGAAGTTTTCACTTCAAAAAGTATTAAAAAAAGTATCCTACACTTACTAAGTCTTATTCAAACCAACACATCAACAGGGCAATTTCAACCAACACGTACACACCCACGCACGTATATGCTTAGGGAGAAGCTACGAATCGCACAAAGAGGAGAGGGAGATAACAGAAAACATTATATTTGTGTGTTCTTTTTCTCCCGTAGGCTAAACCATATAAGCGAATATGTTTGTTTCCTTTCAGTGTCGTTTAGTGTTCTCTAAAGAAGTTTTCACTTCAAAAAGTATCCTAGTAACCTTCTCCAAACAAAAACAACAACCGGTCGACTTCAACCCACACGTACACACATACACACGTCTATGCTTAGGGGGGAAGCTACGAAGCATCGCACAAAGAGGAGACGGAGATAATAGAAAACTTTGTATTTGCGTTCTCTTGTTCTCCCGCAAGATAATCCATATTCTCTTTTTAGTGTCGTTTAGTGCCCTTTTAGAAAAGTTTTCATTACCTTCTCCTGGCCCTAAGCTACCTCTCCACCAATTTTTAGCTAAATTGGATTAGCGGTTCTTTAGTTATAATGGAGTTAACTAACACGAATTTCTTTTATATATATAGATAAGTAGAAATTTAGTTTGATAGGAAATATATCGATTCCTCTATATACCACTATACCTCTATAATTAAACATTTACAAATTTTATGTTTATCATTTTTTCTTTATTTCTTCTGTATTTTATAAGTTTACAATTGAATATAATAAATATTAATGCTTCAACAAACACATTCGATTAAGTCTATTTAAAAATCGTAGCTGCCCTTAAGAAGAACATTGTATTTAGGGTCAGTAGTGCCACCTCGTCCTCCGTAATGGCGCTCGTACTCGCCGGCAACACCCACACGTCCACGCTTGTCTTGAGTCTGGAAGAAATTGTAAGTTCCGGAAGCTTTGAAGTCTGTACCAGCACCGCGAGTATTCTCAGCGTTTACTTGGAAGTTACTGCCTGATGGTTTGTGAAGATATTCAGCGCCTTGTCCAGTTGTCAGAGGACCTTTGGGAGCAAAATCACGTCCACCATATGCATTCGCAGAGAATTGGTGTTTATCGTTGTCGACAAAGGTGTATTTCTGACCAAGTCCAACGTGCTGGTTGCCAATATCATATGTGGTTTCACGTTGAGGATTTGCAGATCTAATAAATCACATTATTAGTACACTTTGAATTTAATTCCAAAATATATTTAATTTACTGTAAAAACAACAGTAAGGCTTTTAATTACCTAAAGAGTATAAATTGCTTTACTAAAGCTAGTCCAGCGTCAAATCACGAACATTATTCCCAACGAACAAACACCAATATTTCAAGGCCGTTTATTATAACATTAAAGTTTAAACACGTATCAGCAATGCACCATTTAAACATTTATTTTCTGGTTATTGCAATTTTTGCACTTAGTCACATTAAATCCCAACCAATTTTTGAAGATCGCAATAATAACTTATATCATTTAGTTCTCTCCGATGATATAATATAATACAAATTGGCCACAGATATATCAGGTTAATCTCAAACTTAAACGAAATGATGTTTATGTTTATTGTAAGTATTTCTGTTTTTAGATCACCCAATCCACATCACGACGCAGATCATGAAACAGGCAGAAAACACGTTAGCTTCGGGCAATCACATATAATACTTTCGTTGACAACGATCGACATAAATTCACTGCCAACGCATATGCAAACCGCAATTATGCCCCAAAAGGACCTTTAACAACCGGTCAAGGCGCTGAATATCTCCATAAACCTTCTGGAAGTAATTTCCAAATAAACTCAGAAAACACTCGCGGTGCAGGCACAGATTTCAAAGCATCTGGAACTTACAACTTCTTCCAGACACAAGACAAACGGGGTCATTTAGGAGTTGCCGGTGAAGACGAACGACTGGAGGTCCTCAAGGTGCTTCAGATCCTAAATATAGTGTAGTTCTAAAAGGAAGCTACGATATTTAAACTAAGCAAGATTATAAGTTATGTTTGCAAAAATGTATATGTATTTGTGTTATTGTGATAGGATTTATACAATTTTTAAGCATTTAAATAAAATGATTACATAGGATTTACAATTTACAATTCTAATGATAATAATGATAAATAATGATTAATATGCCAATTTATGGTAGTTAATAACAATATATAATTGTATAGTAGTTTAGAATTTTCCATGTGGTCCTCCACCTCGCTGGTAGTTCAAACTTTTAAGAATTTCATCAGGAATCGGAGGCGGCGTAGGCAAATGATTGCCTTGAGCGACGAATCCGTTTTCATCAGCTGTGTACATTATACTATAAACTTTATTATCCGGCCCGGTATATTTAAAAAAGCCTTTGGCACGCATTGCTTCCAAATCACTTCCTTTATTTGCAATTTTGCCGGTTTCTTCTGCTTGTATTCCATTTTCAGTTTCAAAACTAAAAATTAACATAAATAAGTAACAAAATATTTCTAGGAATTGGTTTATATTACTCCCAATGATATCCATCTGGTGCAACATCGCCATTTTGTTTAATTATTAGTAGTATTTAGTAGGGAAACGAATAGCTGAATGTGTAGTTTTTGGATTAAAGACTGTTCCAGCAGGAATATCACCGAAAAAGTTAGACTGGTGATTTGCAGAATGGCTTGTTAATGGCTTCCTGAAAAATTCTACGTCCTTGATTCCTTGGAGAGGTTTTCGGTGTAAAATTCTAGTGGTAGGAGCAATTGTAGAACTTAAAAACTGATCATCTTCATAACTCGGTGAAGATGACGCAAATTTTCCCGAAGATTTTTTGTTACCAAAATTATCTAAATAATAAATAATAGTATTTATTTAATGTTTGGAGATAAAGACTAATAACTAAGTTAATTTACCTTCAAATTCTCTTAATTGATTATTTGGCCTAACAAAATTATTTTGCGCAAACTTTGATTTAGATCCAGATACAAAATTTCCAGCAAAATTGCCATCACTTCGAAATTTATTTAAATTTCCTTTTGCTCGGTAAAATCCTGGTCCTTTTTCGTGTTTATATTGTCCACTATTATCAACAATATATTGACCAGAATTATCATGCACATATTGTCCATCTTCTCCATCGGGACCAGGATATTTCCCAGGATGATATTGTCCATCATCTTCATCGTTCAACGATTGACAATATCCTCCAATCCAGAATATAGATAAACACTAAAATAAATAAAAATAAAAAACATACAAATGCATAAAAAATATAGTTTTACGTTTGTAGTTTTAAATGACTAAATACAATCAAAATATGTATCAGTAAAAGAACAAAAGTGAGATGCAATTTAATTGTTAAACTGGTTTATACACATACTGTCTGTTTTGAAATTTTCACATCATTTTCATTTAAAACGCCTAATTTTCATAAAATTCCGCTTGATAAATATAATAAGTAATATTTAGCTAAAATATAAACAATATAAATTTTGTTAATGTATTACTTATTATCAAATATCTAAATCTTTAGACACCAAGTAGGGAGAAACATTTAAAGATTAAAGATTACGAGATTACATTTTCCTCACGTGTTCCATTTCATGTACAATTTTGGCATTTTAGCATTACTTATGTAATCGTAAAACAATTTGAGCATAGCTTAAGTTAGTTCAAATTGCCAATATTTGAACTTTTGAGTGGGTGTCATAAAATTTATTGTATACTATTCACCTTTTCACAGCATAAAAATTCGTTCAACTATTGTTAAAGCGATGCGCTGTGCATAATATAATAAATAATTAAAACTCTAAGAAACACATTCATTTGTGATGAGTCATTGTTCAATACACTTGCAGCTACTGTTTCACCTCCGTGATCGGCCACTGATAACAATCGGTGTTTGTTTTTTTTTGTGCTCGTTTTTAATTCTGATCGCTCAGCCGATCAAACTCTCGATCGAGAACCACAACTTGCGTAACCAAATTGTTTCCTGTCGTTTTTACAATTCCACTAATCTTGCACAGTTAAGAAAACTTGAAAATTGAGTTATTAAACAATGAAAAATAAAAAGACCATCAAAGTTTTAACACAAAGCATAAATTTATATATTATTATGAATTTCGACATTTGCAAACCTTTCTAAAAGGAAAGATTCACATTTTATTATTAAGACATTTGCATATTTTAGCTTGTTAACACTTTTACTTTCCTTAAAAGAAAAATAAACACGACAAATCAAATTTACAATCTATTCATCTATTCAACATGAGTTAAGTCATGAACATGTCAACTCTAACCCCGGCCATTGCTCAGCGAAGATGAAAATGCACAAAATCTGGGCTCGTCCAACAGTCTGACCCATTTACGCCATACGTCTAGATGTATAAGTGTATCGGTGTAGGTGTGTATTATTCATTTGTGTTTTTCTTGATTGGATAAGAACAGAGCAAGCACGAGAAGCTCCCAATAAGAAGTTACATTTGCAAGCCCACAAGGCCGCATAATTAAAATTCATAAACGTAATTGAACGGTGCTAGAGTCTGTGTGCTTTTACTTCTGAATTTATGAACCATGGATACTTGTATTGATTTGTCTGTTGATATTGGCTTATACTCTGCTAGTTGAAGTACATCTTTTTGCCCTTCTTAAGCAAATAAATAAAATACTGTATTTAGAATCAACTAGTAATAACAGTATAGATACATGCCTGAGCTTGGACCTGGTTGAACCTCAGCCATGGAAATGCTTTGTGCAGAGTGTGCTTGTTCTATTTCCCTTTCACAATCGGCTACTGCTTCCAATCTTTGTTTTTAACTGCTAATGTTCGTGTTGTTTCATTCCCTGCTGGTCTTCATTTCATATGGTGAAATGCACCAGTAACCTTTATTTGTGAGAATGTGACGTCACAGCGATCACGTGACAAGGTATTGGCGTTTTGGAACGAAATTTGAAACGCAATTTTAAAAACATGATTTTTAGGCTTTAAAGGTATTTAAAAAAATATATGTATATTTAGGACCATATTAGGTACATATGCACGATTTAAAACACTTTCCCAAAAATAGTCAACATCCCTATTGCATTAGCGAGCGAATGGATCGGACTATAGATCCGATATCGCGACATAAAACAACTTCAAACAAGAGAACCAGCATTGTTTGGATTTTGCAAAGATGCAAAGACAGCGTGTAAGTTCAGCTACCTGTGATTCCTGCAACAGGCTATTAACCAAATTCATGAACCATGCTTCAAAAGTAATATTAATTAATGTAAAATTAGAAACAATAAATTCCATATATATTTCAATATATGAATTGCTTTAAAACAACAAAAACATTCATTTTTAGCCAACATTTCTTAACTTTATTTTAATGTATGCAACTTACATAACATCTAGAAACACTTTCGGGGTTAGAACATGGTACCGCCATATTGTTTTTCATACTCACTTGTTATACTTTTGGTGTTTTCTTTAAATTGAAATACAATACAATGGCAAATACATCTACTGCATTAAATCGTACATCGATTAAAAACCTCGAAGTTGATTTACCGAATGTAATGCTAATTGCATTACTCATCGGTAAGCAGCCGCATCGCTGTTTCAAACCTCTTGACTACGGCAAGGCACCAGTATCCACTGAAGAACGCGCTGTTTGGAATTTTACGGTACGAGATAGTCCACGCGACTATATCAATGTTACTTTTTGGGGTAAACCTGATACAATCAGTCAGTTGGACAACGTTAACCTAATTTGAACCTGATTTGGTTAAAGTTGAAATAACTTGTCCTCGGATAAGCCTTCGTAAGGCAACCAACGTCGGTGAACAATTTTGTCCTGTGGTAACCAGTCCTTTTCATCTAACTATCAATGAAGACACTGGTAATGCACAAAAAGTTCGTGGATATTCTATTCCAGCACTGATGCGACTGCTGAATTTGCCGACAAAACCTATGTTTAATTATACTACAATTGATTATATTTTCAAAAATATCCACCAGATAAACGGTAGTAATTCAGCATAACCCATATATTAATCTGTTTGTCATAATAATTTCATATTTCACTATTTTCAGGTCTTTTGTTTGATTTGTTAGTGGCAGTACGTCAAGTAGGTGAAGTGCGCTTTGTTTCAACTAAAAATGGTATGCAACAATTGCGCAAAGTGATTGTATTTGACAGTACTAACCCGGCAATGGCTATAACTTTCTGGAACTCTGACGATACAACAAGGGCAAACATGTGGAAGCCGAGAGAAACAATTTTGTTCATCACAGATTGTAAAGTGCAATACGACACCTTTTCCAACAGTGCAATTGGTACTCCATCAATGAAAACTATTATCACCGAGAATCCGGAAGGAAAAGAAGGCAATATCTTGAAAAACTATGCAATGAACGCGCATTTGCACAGTTCCGCAGTTATGGATCAATTGCTTGGAGTTATGCCAGAACGTAAGATAACACAATACACAATGTCGTTTTAGTTACACTATGTATTAAAATCTTTTAATATAGCGGCTTTTATCAAAACGATAATGAATATACGTGAAATTCAACTCAAATTGAACCAAATTAGTAAGACAAAGTCAGTTAGAGTAGAAGAGAATCAATTTGCTGTCATTTTATACGCATACGTGACCAAACTAGACATTGATGGTCTCTCAAGAATATTCAGTACTCGTTGGTAAGTTTATGCAATTAAATCTTTCTATACCTATTGCGCGCGGAGTAATTAATTAAATTATTATAGTTCCCTTTGCAAAAGTATGACCAATCAGTTAGAAGAATGTCAAAATCCAATTTGCTTGTCCAATACATCTAACCAAGTGATGGATCTTGACAAAATCTTTGATTTACGCATTGAAGTATCGGATAGAACCGGTACATTAACGCAATGTCGATTGAGTGGACAAAACGCAGAAACTGTATTTAATTGCAGTGTAAGTATAAACGCAAATATATAAAAATAAATTATTTCAACGTTTATACATATTTAGCCTTCTGAATTTTCTTCAATGTCGGATGAAGAAAAATGGAGAATCAAGTGGAAATACCTAATGGAATTCTGTGAATTGCGTTTGGTTATCTTGTTAAAAAATGATAGACCAATGATAACAGTTTTGACCTGTACACGAGCGGATGTGAGCGTTCACGGGGTAAATTAATTCTTTTTAATTCAAAATCATTTAAAAATAAATAACTACATTTAATATTCGACTATTACAAATACCCTGTTTTGTAAATAAATAAAAATAAATTCGTCTTTAGAAAATGAAACATAAATGTTCATAATTCAAAATAGTGACTACTCTTTGTGGAACATATCAGCCGTTTGCAGTAAACATTTGCATCCGCATCCTGATGGGCAAACGTTCTGGGTGGCAAACCATTGTTGTAGGTGTTTTGTATGTCCGCCATGACCGCATACAAGACAACAGTTTGCGCTACCTCGTACGGACACGTGACAAATCACGCAGTTCAACGAAATGCGATTACAATTGCCACATCCACATTGTATTGATGGACGTAAACAATGTTGGCAATCAGCTAGGAACACTACACCGCGTGGGGCATCAGTTTGTGTACACATAAACTTTAGTACTTCAGCCCGATTATACAATAAACCCCAGCGATGTAGAGTCTCCGCATACGCCATCTTGTAGTATTCGTAACGTGAGGACGTGTCGGATTTAATGCGTTGCTCTTGATACTGTTCGATTTTCAGATTATCCAAGCTATTCGAACGCTAATTTGTTACCTTGCGCCACCGTTTCCCAGGAATTAATTGCTATCATATGAAAAATAGAAAAAACAAATGAAATGATAGAAGATGCGTTGAAATATCAAGGCCAATAAAACACCTTATACACAATATTAAATTTTCATGAAATATGAGTTGAATCAAGTCAACATACCGGTGTAGGATTTAGTAACGTCTTCAGTGATTGTTTTCGTGCGGTTTGTTCGTGATCTTTGCCGAAAATACAAGACAACATAGCGGCCATTTGAATGTCGTTTTGTGATGCATAATGTTCAATTCTGCAATTCATAAAAATTAACATCATAACTCAGCCAGGTATACATACATATTGTACTTACAAAGATTGCATTAATTGTGTTCCAAGCGGATTCGTACTCATGTCCTCTTCGGCCTGCTGTGGACTAGCTGCCAACTCAGCTAAAGTCCAAGCTTGCACCAAATCTCTCCTTCCAACCTTCGCAGCCACATTCGCATTATATTTACAAATCGTACCTACATCGCCATCCATAATATATTGCCTGGCAAGCATTTTATTAAGCAGAAACAATGACGAAGTATCATAAACCACCACCATAGCCTTAAAACTTCTTGAATTTACTTTCGTTCGCGGTCTTTGCTTCTGATAGTAAAATAACGAAACGGAAAGTTGATCATTCGGTCTCTTCGAACCGATCATACTTCCCAAAGCAGACAAAGCCCTCGGCGTGGTACTGTCAACTTTTGTCGATAATCTTCTCGTCTGTGGCCGACCGAAACAAACTAGAGTACTGACCGAACAGAACTTAGCACCTGACGTCCTTGGAAATGGAATATAGGCATCGTTGTAGGAACCAAAAATATTTGGCGACTCTAAATATGGAGTGTAGATCTTTGTAGCATCCTGTGGTAATTGTTCAAGGAAGCTGACCAGTTGTCTGAGGCATGGTTCAAGACAAGTCCGATTTTTCAATACGCGTTGCTGCGCAATGTGTGTCAGAGCTTGGCTCAAATCGCTCGAAGCTTTCTCATCAATGCTAGATCCCTGAATTACTTGAAAGTTCGGTGGTACGTGATTGGGGTAAGCATTCGGAAAGGTAACTTGAAGATTAACCAAATAGTTACTCGTCTTAGCACGTACAGTGCAAGTTCTTTTGATAACATCCATTTTGATCAAGTCTAAATTTGGAATTTGAACGTTCATCAAAGAAAACTCCTGTTGTAATGCATGTAGTTTAGTATTTGTGGCATATTTTGTAGTGGCTTCAACTCCTTCAACAATATCTTCGCTCACGACGTCTTTGGACGGTAGTTCAGGTTCATAACCGCATAATTTTTGAAGATATGGTTCAATACGCCAGACTAGTAAACTCTGATCCTTCGACCAAGTCACTAATTGATAATCAGAGTCGCCATCCCTCTTCTTACGCCACTCGAATTCTAACACTACGTCTCTATGTCCCATAAATGTGTGCACTGGAGCGGTGCGATTCGTAGTGTTCCACATTAATAGACTATTCTCGCCTCTTCGTAGTTGGGGTACTACTACTGTTACCAAGCCAGTACCAAATGGAGTATACCTCGCTCGCCAAACAGGTGCGCTCGTGTTTAAAATGTACTCAGGCTTCTTGGGTGAGCTAATATCAAAGAACTTTACAGTATTATCTTGACTAGACGTTGTTAACTGAGTTTCCACATGCGGATTCCAATCTAATCCATAAATTTTAGCCAGATGTGCAGAGATATAAAGAACCGGAGCGGTACCCTTACGTCGATCCCATAATTTGATATCACCATCATGTGCTGTGGCAAGGAGATAGGGATTTTTGTAGTTCCAACGAACTTGTGAGGCTTCCGCAATCGCCGATAGACTAGTTGTAGGACGACGTGAGTCTCTCAGATCCCAAATGTGAATAAAGGTGTCAACGGAACATGAGGCAAGTAGATTTGGATCAGTATGATGCCAATTTAAGTCAGTGATGACTCTAGTGTGTGCTTTTAGTGAGTGGGTTTGTGTAAGTTCACCCAAACGCCATGTTAAAACTTCTAGTCTTTGATTACACTGAAAAATATTAATTTTAATAAATAAAAAAGAAACAGAAAGGAAATATATATGTTTTTAACTTACTGAAATAACACAAAGCTCACTATTGTGTTCAGTATGATTCCACTCTGCAGATCCTACATCATATTTACTTTGTCTTGGAAATTTCTTCAAGTTATCAGTGTCAGTGTCATCTAAATTCCTAATAGCAATGTACCTCCTCCTGCAAAATATTAACACAAATCAGTAATAATAATATCCTAGAACACACTACTAGTGCAACTTACCCTGCTAGTAAGACATAGGTACCGGTATTATTTAAGGCCATAGCATTGGCCTGTAAGTCTCTGTGCTCCATGGCAATAAAAAAGTCAGTATTCCATCGAACAGACATTGTATCTAGTAATCTCATTTAATTATTTACTAACATGAAGTTGAAGCACATTTCAAACAGCGCTTTGGGTCATTTTAAATTCCTGGCCTTTAAAAAATGCAAACACATCCTTTTCAGGATATATTGATAAAAGTCAAGTCAATATTATAAAAACAAATCATCTAACCTCATCGCAAAAATCGAACAAGAGTGGCGAACAAACGAACATGACCTTCAGTTGGACAGCTTTGTGAAAACTATGCATAGATGACTCTGTGTACACGGAATTCAACTAAATTTCTTCATCGTAGTTTATCGTTATCGTATAGTGAAGCATGTTTTAGTTGTGAAGCGTCTTCAATAACTCACTCTGCGTTGTGTGTCGATTCCGCGATTCAGTGGAATTCTTTCAACCTTCTTATGGATCAGCCAGGACACGATTAAGGTAAGATTTGTGATTGTCAGATAAACTGAGTAAATAAACACGATCCAATAAATGCAAACTTGAAATACGGAATGGAATATTTTTGTCATGGCAACACTTAAGTATTCTACAAAGTAATACATACTTATTGCATTTTTGTAATAAATTCCATTGAAAACAATGAAACAGGCTGTTTTTAAAATTGAACCGTATTGAAATATTTTTATTTTTTTGTATTTCATTATTACGTTTGCTAATGTGTCTATTAGGTATATGGATATAAACTAGAGTAATTGTTTCGAGCTACATAGAATTGACTCTATAATACGCCACATAGTGTTCATATTTCATTCACTGAGGCTTAAATTTGAACTTAAATCATACAGATATCAGTTTTATTGAAATCATTTTAAAGAAGTTTCACATCAAAAGTCAATGTTTGTAAAGTTTTTACGTGTCGTTACAAGTATTTCAGTCTAATTCATTGTATATTTGTTATGTTTTATATAAGTTTAAACGCTAGGATTAAAAGTGCGTGTATTGTAATTATTTCGAAATACTATCATTCATTTCGTTAGGTTGTTGATACGTGCCGCGTGATTTTATCCGTGACCTTGTGAACTTCTTGCGCACCCGCTAGATGGCGCTAGGACAGTACTTATTTGCATTTAATTCTTGTTTGTTGGTGGTAGTGGAGTTGGTTGCGATAAAGCATGCGATTTATCTAGCGCGACTCGTGTCCGTGCAAGTTCATGAGATATATGCAACAATAAATTTAACTGGGTAATGAGGTTTTATAATAATACCGTTGGAACAGTATTCCGCAAATTGAAGAAATTTGCTACGGTTGCTGCTAATACTAAAGAAAACATCATAATATTTTGCAAATTAGTTAAAACTTAAATAATTAAAACAAATAATAAAATAATATGTTTTATTCACATTACGTGTAAACGTGTTTGTTTACATTTGTCCAATCTCGTGTTATTAATACTGCCTCATACCACTCGACCGTCTCGCGGACACTTTCGGTTGCGTCTTGTGAGGTGAGAAGTAAAACCACCGCTGTATTGCAATCTCGCGCAGCACATACTAAGAATCTTATCTCGGAATGTCATTCGTGCTTGCATTATTTTTTGGTGTCGAGTTACCCAATTTTAACGAAATTTTTAAAGCTGACAAGGCAATTAGGTACAAAATTACGGAAATCCGAAAATTTTACATGCAAATAATGTATAGAACTCAAACTAAAATATTTTGACGCGCTATAGTTGTGATCTATTCTGAACTTAAATCAGCGGTGCAACAAATTGTAATAGTTATGATTATTATACATTTATTTTAAAATATAATCACGTTATAAATACAAAATCCGAAATAGTTGCCACTAATTCATCGAAGGGACTACAAATAAATTACAGTCCAAAACGTTAAACATTAATAAATTAAGTAATAAATATCGATATTCGTCAAGTTATCGTGTCGTAGTTATCGTCGAATCATCCTCATCCTATCAGTGCGCCATTTTCTGTAATTATTTTGCTCTGGGGTAGTAATACAGCACCGATGAACCAGGCAATTGCCACTTTGACGCGTGTAACTCAATCAACTGCAGCAAGGTTCTACGCACAGCAGGACTTCCTGCGCTGGCTAAGAAACCATCTCTGACACTTGCCATCAAAGTGTCCAATTGCAAAGGAAGTTCATTTTCAAGATCCCTTCCTATAGACGTAAGAACAAAGAAGAGACATTCAGTCTCTGCCAAACATTTAATCGGCAAACTAACGCACGCCATGCAACACTTTCCCAAAACTGAGAGTAGTACCATATCAGGTTGCAATGCCTCAAACTGCGACTTCATCTGGTGTCTCTTCAACTGTCCACACATTTCAGTAAGGAACCACATGAAAGCAGTAAAGCGTGTCCCATCACCGGCTTTTTGTCCTCGTAATATCTTATCGCGTTCTTGATACCATTGCTGACAAGTGTTAATCAAGGATTCCAGAAAGGTTTGGTTACGTTCCGCGTCAATAATGCGAATACATAATTTAGCACCTGCTTCTGAGTATTTTATTCCCTCAACAACACGTTCTAGAATAAGCTTCACCAAATCCATCAAGGTTCTTGATTGTAGGGCATTGGGATCTTCCAAAGCAAGTTTTAAGTTAGTGCGATCCTCTTCAGAAAAGGAGCCAAGATCAATTTCTTCGTTGTTGAAACATTTGATACGATTGGGTTGGGTTTCAATCATACTTTTAGAGCGTTTCAAGCCCATAGATGCATTAAAACCTTGTGGATTTTGCGGACTATGACCTCTCGCTTGTGTTGTATATTCAGGAATTTGAAAGTTGACCCTATGTGCATTTGGAACAATAATAGACGTTGCAGAATGCATTAGGGGATTGCTCATCATTCCCGGCATAATTAAAGGCAACTGCCTTAGAGAAGACTTTTGTTGTATAATGTCTCCAGTTAAATTTGGATTATAATTTAGATAGTGCGAGAGATTGCCGCTTGACTTTGATTGTTGTAGTTCATGCGTTTGTTGCATAGTGAATTCTTTGGCATGGACGTTTAACTTTCCGTTTCCATGATTGCCATGGTTCCCATGATGATGTTGTAGAGCAGGTAAGAGGTCGGAGCGTACGTTTGGTGGACGGTAGATCTCCATGGTAGGTTTATTGAGAGCCTTAAGAGATGATATTGTTTGCGAACGGCGCTTATGAAGATTACTCTGCTTCACAAAACTGCGCTCTCGTGATAAAACCCCAGCGTTTGTTAAACTACCATTGCCATGGTTGGCGGTGGTAAAGTCAGTTTTATTACTGCGACGAATCACGTTGGCGTTTTGTTGTAATAGTGACATTTTTACACTCAGTTTCTAAAAATAACCTTATTTAAGCCACAATATAACAATATTTGTTTACTTGCTAACATTGAGGTTAAAACATTGAGTTGAGGTTAAGTTGTATGGACAAATAAAACGTCTACAAGTTCTGTGGCATTCAACAAAGTACACATTTAACTAGATGAAAGAAAAAATACTTTTGTTATTGCAAAACTTCCAACTTGATGAACAGGTGTTAAATTTGCATGATTTGTCATCGCAGATTAGTAGGAAACTCATTATTTCGCAGATGTATACGTACTTTAAATTTCTAGTGCAAAATAATCCCAATATTCGCCACCGAGTTGCTATTATTTTCTGGATAATATAATATTTTCGTCTTTTTCCTGGAATTTATAATTACCACCAGGTAGCCATACAGGCATGCATTTCTTGTCAACTTTCGTGTTATTTGTTATGCGTGCTGTATTAATATCAAGTCAAAGCACACTGTGATGTGCGATGTCGATGTGGTCGAGCGGCAAGCTGATGACGACCACGCAATCACCGCATTTAGAGTTGCAAGGTTCGCTCAGTGAATGACAAACCAAGTCGCACACACGTGAACTCGTTTCGCCTTTTCAACTTGTCTTGGCTTGGTGTGCGTGTGTGAAAAGAATCGAATCGTGCGTAATGCACCAAAACCTACTGATGAAGCATAAGCTGCTTCCTGTTTATACGCAGTTTCGGCGAGCCGCCATTTTGACCATTTTACTTAGGTTGTTGGTCTCTGTGGAGGCTTCAAGTTATTAACTTTGCCAATTAATAGCTTGATTTTAGTTTGTAAGTATTGTATGATTGATTCACTTTCGTTTTGAGTCGGATGAGGGGTTCGGTCGTTTCACGTATTGTTTAATTGGTCGATGTCGCGGCCGACACCGGACGTCGCGCACTGCGTTTGGGATGCGGGATACACGAGATGAGATGAGAGAGAGCGCGCGGCTAATTTTAGGCGTGCTTATTTATAAAACGCATCCAGCAGGAGAGAATTATTACGCCTTTGTGTATAAATACTCTCTAAGTTCATACGATTTTTAATGGTTTTTTTTAACTAATAGTGAAAGAAGAGAAGGCGCTACTCCTCAGAAGAGTGCGTTTTTCGTCAATTATTTTCGTGAATATCGTTACAAATATGCAATGTTTTTAATTCTTTATGAGCATCGTATACAAGTTGAATCTAGGATTTTTTTATGTATTATTAGTGTCCCTTTTAGACAAAATGGTAGAGGATGGTTTACTGCCAGTAAAAACATACTAAATATTATTATCATTAATAAAATTATATTAATAAGAAGAATGGAAATATTTCAGGGTAATTGAATGGGGATTAACGCCTCCGCTCCGTTTGGCATCTGTAGTTTTGCCTGCAGTTGCTGATTGATAGCACCTATGTATAATTTGTGATATTTACTTTATGTATCAAATTTTCTAGTTATTTTAATTTTCATTTGTACAATTAAATATATTTTGCCTTATTTGAATACTCAAATTCCTTTGTAAAATATTTATATCACTACTATACTGATAGGCAACGGCCATACCACGTTGAATATACCGGTTCTCGTCCGATCACCGAAGTCAAGCAACGTCGGGCGCGGGTAGTACTTGGATGGGAGACCGCTTGGGAACTCCGCGTGCAGTTGCCTTTTTAATTTTAACAATGTTTATTGATATTTTGTGGGAATTTATTATAAAATTAATAATATTTTTCATATAATCGCAACCAACTTGGACTAGTCTTGCAAACTCTGATTGTTTTCGTTTTCGGCCCCATTCGGTTATCTTATCTGCAATGTGTCTAAACCAGTTTACTTTCGCAGCGCATCGCGAACATCTAGCCTTCAATCTAGTTTGGTTCGGGCCGGCATTGACTACGCGAGCCTTCCTAGCGGTTTGCAATGTATTTAATTATTAATTAATAAGTTAATATAAAATAGTTAATTGCAAAATATACGATCGTCCATCGCTCACATTTTGGTGTAGTCAGAAATTATTTGTCGCTCCTTTCGGATAGTGCCGTTGACTGACGTGTGTTCTCAAATTTTGTATCACAATTGAAGAATATACCTATCACTAATCGAAAAAAACAATTCATGTATCTATCCTTGGATGTTTGGTGGGACATACTCGTATTGGTGAGTTCTCAATTAAAATTATATTTACGAGCAATGTACTCGTAGGCGTAGACTTTGTATTGTAGAATTGTTTTCGACTTCACCTCTTAGGCTTATCATCTCTCACTACTTAGAGTACTAACCGCATGCCGCTATTGCTGGCAACATTTATACTGCAGCCCCCTGAAGTCAGGCGTTTATTGTCTTAAAGTCGCTCACTTACGATTTTTATTTTTGGGACACCCTTATCTTTGTATTTTTGACATTCGTGTAAAAATGAGCGGTAATTGTGTGAATTTTTTTTCGATTTTTTTGTAACATCTTGTATATTAATTTTCTTTTATATCACGTGGAAGATAATATTTGTTATGTTTGCGAATTTACTCTTCTGAGCTTAGGCGTATATTCTAAATTGTAGTTTTTTTTTGTATCACTCGGTATATTAATTTCCTATGATGACATGTAAAAAGTGCTCAAGGAATATATTTTTTTGTTACTCTTCTTTCCTTTGCTAGTTGTCTGCAAGTGCCAGCGTACGTGTGCTGGTCGTAAGACCTGTTTTAATATGGCGGCATGCATTTTGTTGACTTGTAAAGTCTTGACTCGTGTTCAGGGCACCGTACAAGGGTAGCGGTAGAAGTGACTCGCGTTCAGGGCACCGTATAAAGGTAGCGATAAAAGTGACTCGTGTTCAGGGCAATGTACGAGGGTAGCGGTAGAAATGACTTGCGTTCAGGGCACCGTGTAAAGGTAGCGGTAGAAGTGACTCGTGTTCAGGGCATCGTACGAGGGCAGCAGTAGAAGTGACTCCCATTTAGGGCACCATATGAAGGTAGTGGTAGAAGCGACTCGATTCAGGGCAAACTCCTTTTGCATTTTTTAAAATTTGCCGATGAAAATGGATTATATCTCGCGAACCCTTCACAATATTTTTGTTATTTCTTCTTTATGTGATAAAATCAAAGTCCTTTTTCAAGGTGCACCCTTGAAACCTCGCGAATTTCAGTCCTAACATTCTAAAAATTTAGCATTTTTCAAAACTTACGGTGGAAAACTGGTCATATCTTGCGAACCCTTGGCAATGTTTAAGTTATTTCTTCTTTATATGATAGAGCAAGAATCTTTTTCAAGATGCACCCTTAAAACCTTGCGAATTTCAGTTCCAACTGTCTTATAATGGCCACGAAAGTTTGCTCTTTTTTATCATTTTTCAAAACTTGCGGTGGAAAACTGGTCACATCTCGCGAACCTTTGGCAATATTTTAGTTATTTCTTTTTTTATATGATAAAGCAAGAGTCCTTTTTCAAGTTGCACCCTTAAAACCTTGCGAATTTCAGTCCTATCTGTTTTAAAATGGTCACGAAAGTTTGCTCTTTTCTAACATTTTTCAAAACCTTTGGTGGAAAATTGGTCATATCTCGCGAACCCTTTGTGATATTTTAGTCATTTCTTCTTTAGGTGATACAACGAGAGTCATGTTTTAAGATGCACCCTTGAAACATCGTGAATTTCAGTCCTAACTGCCTTAAAATGGCCGCAAAAATTAGCTTTTTTCTAGAATTTTGCGAAACTTTCGGTGGAAAACTGGTCATATCCCGCGAACCCTTTGCAATATTTTAGTTTTTTTTATATGATAGAGCAAGAGTCCTTTTCACGGGGCACTCTTAAAACCTCGCGAATTTTAGTCCTAACTGTCTCAAAATGGCCGCGAAAGTTTGTTCTTTTCTAGCTTTTTTTCAAAACTGGTCACATCTCGCGAACACTTGGCAATATTTAAGTTATTTCTTCTTTATGTGTTAAAGCAAGAGTCCTTTTTTAAGTTGCACCTTTAAAACCTTGCGCTTTTCAGTCCTAACTGCCTTAAAATGGCCGCAAAAGTTAACTCTTTTCTAGAATTTTGCGAAACTTTCGGTGGAAAACTGGTCATATCTCGCGAACCCTTTGCAATATTTTAGCTATTCCTTACTATATGATAAAGCAATATTCCTTATTCAACATTCTCCCTTAAAACCTTGCGAATTTCAGTCCTAACTATCTTAAAATGGTCGCGAAAGTTTGCTCTATTTTAACATTTTTCGAAATTTACGGTGGAAAACTGATCATATCTCGCGAACCGTTCGCAATATTTTAGTTATATCTTTTTTATATGATAGAGCAAGAGCCCTTTTTCATGGTGCATTTTTGAAACCTCGTGAAATTTTTTTAGTAGTTTTTTAAACTTGCGGTTGAAAACCGGTCATATCTAGGAAATTTCCTATATTTTATATTTTGTAATACTCGGAGTTAATGTCAATTTTATTAACACGCGTTTTTGGTACACTCGGTGAATGTAGTTTTGTCCATATTTATTTTGGAACATCTTCGCGAACGTAAGCAACTGTTATCTTGAGCGAATTTACACCGACGAGTGTTGCACTGATACATAGAAATTATTTAACATTTGCTGTATATTTCTGCGCATTTATGTCCATTATATTAGAGATAATTGTTTTATTAAAATATTATCCAAGTGATGTGAAATGAAAAAAAAGATTATTAATCTAGAATAATGTCGCAATCATATGAACTACGGACAAGTGAAAAAAAAAATTTTTTCACAAAATGGCGACTGTTTGAAAAAAAAAAGTGATTTTTTTACCCTTATTTTTTGATATTCTAGATTTTTTTTGGAATATTTAGCGTAGTTCATTTTAAAGAAAAGTCTATAAAGAAGACTCTGTAAAAATTTCAAGTAAATCGGTTCAGTAGAAGTTGAGAAATCGTGGGTACCGTCTCGAAAAATACAGTTTCGAGAAAAACACGTTTAAAGTTTCGCGTCAATGCGAACCAGTTTGAATGCCGCGTCACCAAAACGGCTGTATCTCGGAAAATAATTTAAATTTTGAAAAACCCACTTGTACACGTATTTTTGAATAGTTAAACTTTGAAAGTATCAAAAAAAAAATCGATTTTTTGAAACCTCTAGACTAGAATACCCCGTTAACCGCCCCCCTTCCAGGATATTCCCGGATAGAAAATCTCCTCATCAATGCTTAGGTAGGTGTGTAGTTAAGGCGGTTTAGCTTGAATTGCTTATTAAATTTGAGGGATATTAATTTTTCTTGTATTATCTTGCAAATTACAAACACGTGGTTGCATTTTTATCAGATTTCCTTGTCCCGTTTCCGAAAATAACATGCATGATTTAATTATTACAAACACGGTTTTTAATATTATGTGAGGATTATTAAAATGACAATATTCATGTGGTCGACCACGCTTACTTTGCCGTCGCTCGGTTCGGTCATGTTTTCGATGATCACGTATACATTTTAAATCGAAATGCATAATTAAATTATAAATTTCTTGTTAAAATAAAATCTTGAAAGGTGTATAGTTTTTCGTTTTTGCAGTCTCAGTATATCTTAATATTTACAAAGAAATAGTTATTTTTATTGTCTTTAACCACTGTGTTGCTACGCGCCGTCGCTTGACGTCTGTTGCTTTAGATGTTTTCCGCCGGATATTCTATCAATTTATGATGATGCTTCACCCGTCGGTTATCTTATGTAGTTGATGTTATCATCAAATTATACATTTAAATACAATAGGTATATTAAAATGTAAATGTTTTATTTTCATAGCACTTTTTTGCTCAATTTCCCTCTTGATGTTGTGAATATTGACTCAATTTGTAGATTCTAGAATTTTTTGCGATCCGTTCTTAATTATCTCTTTTAATTTACGAGATATTCGCGATTGAATAAAATGGGCAAAAATTGAAAAATGTCACTTTTTAGTACTTTTAGTGGTGC